ATAGGAGATTACCAAGTGTATAATTTATACGATGTTTAATTCGTTGATTTCGATTGATACGTTTGCCATGAGACCTATTATTTCGTTGTCTTTTATCCATACTATTCAAATTATCAATAGAAGAAGTTGTACATATGTTCCCCTGTCCAAGTATATAGTCATTTAGACCCAGGGGATAAGCTGTTTGAAGTCGTTTAATCCAAGACAGTTCGATAATTTAACGGGAATCTTCAAATTGTTTATGCGATTGCCCTTGTTGTTTTTGTATCGGTTCGAGCGGTTGAAATCTAATAAATGTAATATTGTGGTTGTGTTTACCTAAATGTTGATAAATTATACTTTTGAATTTCTTAGGTTTTCGGAAGCGGTCTAGATGTTCCTGTGTTCGTTTACAAAACTCCCGTCCTGTTTGTCCTACAAATGGTATACCACACTTTGTCTTTGTTAATGTAACCAGATAAATGAGGCTTTGGGTTTTTCATGTAATGTCACAGGAAAAGGAAAGCGAAAATGCTCTCACGTTCACTGTTGACCTTACAGTATTACCAGAAGATAATCTAGATCAGGTTAGTCAATTTCTCGCATTGCACGAAAATATTTGTGGATATCCACGTGCATTTTTATTGAATAATCTGGCTGCAGCAGCATTGCCACCCGGCCTTGCCCTTTTTAGGATTCCATGCCATTCATTAAGCTTTGTTTGTTACATGAATATGACTTCTTAATTTATTGATGTGATTTGAAATGCGGTGAATACTGTTTTCAATCTGGCCGTACATTGACCAATATTTCAACTGTAAACTATCCAGAAACAGATATAAGCTAACTGTCTTTGTCTATTTACTAAATGCTGCACATGGCATATACCCTTTGTCTAAATGACAATGTGGCAAGGAAAGATATCTTAAACTTGCTCTTCTGATGTCTCAGATACTGTTAATAAATGAAAAAAAACCTACAGAATAGTAAATGTCATGACAAACGCATCAATCGAAATCAACGAATTAAACACTGCATAGTATTCACTAGACGGTCTCTGTTCTATATTTACAAACAATGTAAGACATCTGTGTAAACTTTGTCAAACACCTATTGGTAAATCAGAAAATAGTTTCAAGGCATGTTGCGCAATTTCGTTTTTCAGCCCACTGTAACGGTATTTTTTTTATTACAGATGGTTGTCTAACGACGTTAACGTTCTAAACTTCTGGGATGTGTTTAAGTTGATTTTAGTCTCTTATGCATGATTTTTTATTATAATTGTTTATGGCTTTTAACTAGCTTTCAGTAATATGAGTACTCTCAAATCTTACTTTCGTGTTAATTTGACCTGTTGATACAATTTTATGCTTTTTTGTTATTGATTGTTTTTTTATTTAGTGGTATATCTCATCTCTCTATTTTTAATATATACTAGCTTTGATAAGTGTTTAGTATGACTATAAATGTTCACTTCTGTATACAACAAATTTATTTTTTCATTTATTTGTGTACATTATTCTATTTTGAGGCATTTTTTTCAATGTTATGGTTGTCTTTCTGAAATTGTTTAACATCTCACTCCTTATTTTATTGATTTTGTATTTGCATTGCATTCAGTTTAAATTCACTTGTTTGTGTTAATATGTCTTTTGATTGCTTTAAGACATTCCAATTGATGTTACACTTTTGTTTTAGGTAAGGGTGTAGTTTGTATCTATTAATACGTTTCATCCCGCTGCATTTGTTTTGCATATGTCCTAAGTTAGGAACCTGATGTCCAGTAGTATGCATATATATATAGGAAGATGTGGTATGAGTGCCAACGAGACAACTCTCCATCCAAGTCATAATTTGTAAAAGTAAACCATTATATGTCACAGAAAGGTCTTCAACACGGAGCATTGGCTCACACCGAACAACAAGCTATAAAGGGCCCAAAAAATGACTAGTGTAAAATCATTCAAACGGGAAAACCAACGGTCCAATCTATAGAAAAAAACGTGTATCTGTACATTTATTTGATCTTCCAAGAGGATGTTGAACCTTTATTGTACAACCCTTTGCTACAAATTTTGTATGTATATTTATACAGGATGTTAATCGTGGATGACCGCATGTAATCCAATTATTAAATGTGATAATAAATAATTTACTTAATGACTCAAATAACTCATTCGATTGTATGTTTTAAACCACACACGTTCGCTGAACAAAAATATCAATATACAATATATTACAATCGCCGTAACTCATGCAGAACCGTTCTGCCTTTTTTATTGTACACATAACCATAACATTGAGAATGGAAATGGGGAATCTGTCAAAGAGACAACAACCCGAACAAAAAGCAGATAAAATCAGACGAAGGCCACCAATGGGTCTTCAACACAGCGAGAAAACCCGGCACCCAGAGGCTGGGTTCAGCTGGCCCTGAAAAATATGAACAGTTTTAAATATCGTAAACTACTATAGGCCTAAACATTTCTGGAGAAGATACCTTATCTGGTAAGAATACATATCACGTGTCCACGCTTTGCTTAAATGATATGACAACAATTTAGCATTTAGATTTTAGAGTGATATTCAAATATTTTGTGAGATTCTACTTAAGGATGCACTTAGATGAGGTTAAGGAATGTGTGCCAAATGTTCGGACTGCTTAAGTTTTTTCCTACGGTTCAGGGTAAACAATTTTGCCCCATAACACCCATTTTCCTTTTTAAATAAGATTTTAATAGCTTATAAAAGGTCATTCACCAATATTTAAGCAGCTTTTTGATTTCTTTTCTATCGATTTGAGACCAAAATATTACCAATGCAAATATAAGTTTCAAGTCAAAGTTTTGACTGCCTTTTCCCGCCATTTGTGAAAACTCAAATATATCGAAAAGGATAAAACTTAAATATCTCGAAAAGGAGCTCCATAACTTATTAATATTTTAGCTTTTATTGTTCCTTAACTAATACTTTTTCGACTAATTGTATCAATTTTAATGTCTTGTTTTTTTTTTTAATTTTACCTAAGTTCATCCTTAATAATGTCTATGAACAGATTTCAGTGTCAGGTGCTGAAATTTCATAAAATTTTAACAGTATGTGTGATTTACATCTCCAATTATTTATAGACCAGTTCTATGTTCGATTGTATCTTCACTTGAATATTTATATATATGCAATTTATGACCTAACAGCCACACTTTTACTCATCAATAATAATGTGTCCCTGTCAGCAGAATTTGTTATTATAAAAACAATGATTCTTAAATACACCCATGATATGCACTTATTTTGATGCATGGTTTCCCATATGAAGGTTATTTCAAAAAATCTTTCGAAATCAGAAAAGGTTATAACGCGTGATGACCACGTGTCACATCATGAGATCTTGGTATAGTATATAATTCATCTTAATGTAAAGACATGTTACACGAAGTACTCAACTGTAAAATGTTCCAAATTATCGCTTTGAATATCGCAGTCAAATCTGTCTTCACAATCAAGACAAGTCCTGTATGTTTTTTTTTGTGTGAGATGTTTTCTCTGCGTTGTATCGATCTGATGACTTAACTCATTTAAACTTATTTTGATAGTTTAGTCAAATGTTGTGCTGTAACACAATATTTAGCAAAGTTGAGGTAGTGTCAAGCGCTCACAGACGTGTGTAATCCCGTAATAGTCCTTATGTGCCTGTCAAAAGTTAGGAGCCTGCTGTTTAATTGTTGCTTTTGATTTATGTCTGTCATATTTAGGTACTAATTATGCCGCTAGTTTTCTCTATTGTATCAAATTTTTCATGTACAGACCTTTTATTGCCGACTATATTGTATCGGCTTTTCTCACTCAGGTCATTATTGAAGGCCGTATGGTTGCCTACATTCCCTTCATTTCCAACTTTGGTCGATATTTGTCTCATTGGCAATCATACCACATCTCCTTATTTGTATATGACATACAGTAAAAAAAACAAACAATAAAAACGGGCAAAATACATACATCTCAAAATAAATAACTGGTAGGTTGATGTAGTAGAAACTTTATTAACAAATGATCCATTCCAATACATTTATACACAAATAAACAAATAAATCTTAGGATATAAGTATCTTTTTACTTTATTAATATCGGTGATAAACAAGAATAAAATGCCTGTCCGACATATATTATAGATGACAATATACAATTATTGATCTTGTATCTACATGACTTTTGTATGACTATTACTATTGCTTCATTGATGTATACTAGTCAACAAAAGAAACGATACAAGGCTGTCAACGTATATTTGTTCCGCCTAACAGAAGTTCCACTGGAAACTTTGTTATAAACAATATCATAATATTTGTTCCTGTTGGAACAAATATTCTATACCATTTATTCCGTTAGGAACATTTACTGTAATATTTATTCCAGTGGAAATAATATTCCAGAATATTGTTTCCATTTGGAACTTATATTATGAAGGAACTTCTATTCCGCGACAAGGCAATGTATTTTCCATGTATAATGAAATTGGATACACTGTACCAAGGTAGATAATAGCCAATTGGTCTAATTTTTACAGAGTGTTATTTTCTTATCAAAATCATTGATTTCAGGCAAAAACTCCATTTACTTTTTTTTTTAATTTTTGTTAATTAAAAAATCGTTTTTTTCCCAAACAATTAAAACATCAATATTAGAATTTAAAATATGAAAATTAAACATGGTCTGCTTAAAACATTTTTTTGTAAAATGTTGAATGTCTGTGCAGATATTTGAATACTTAATTCTCATCTTCGATCTTGAGTGCCGACTTTTGTCATTATTTTCCGCAAAATAAATTTGACCCCTGTGTTCAATAAGTTGGTATTTTCTAACTTTCCAATTTGGTCAGATTGTTTTAATCATATGTATTTGCTTTGTAAATGAATGTTTTTAATCGGATAGTTTAACAGTTTTTCTTATATATTATATTTATGATAAATAAGAGTTCAAACTTGTGTATCGTTTCTTTTGTTGACTGGTGTATATTAACCAAAAAACAACATTAATACGAATATTTGCTATATCCACATTTCTTTATAACTTGTGGAGCCATCATCTTGAATTCGTCAATGGTCACTTTACCATCAACTGAAAATTAAGAAACATTCTTAAAATCTTAATACCTGTTTTATTGTGGTATAATATGCATTCATACCATTTAAACATAAACATGATTTCATAAAACGTTGTAATCAACCATGCCTAATTTTTTTGAAAATAAAAATAAAAGCGAAGATAACAAAACTGCTCATAATTGTTATGTTGAAAACAGAAAATATGTCTAAACTGATAATAATCTGAAACGGTTGCAAATTTCAATAACAAAAGTACCCATGTTGCTTTCTAATGTTACAGATAAGAAAATTGTCCTCGGAATGTCCATATGTATAATGGTATTGTTTAAGATGTCTAGCGGAAGACAAATATCTTACGAGGCAGCACACGAAACAGACACAACAAAACTATATTAGACTAGTAAAAACAGTATCATGATGGAACACATGTACTCTCATTTCTTGAATATACATGCAGTTGTTCAATATAACTTACTATATATGATAATGTGAATTGCTTGGTTTGAGAAATATAGAGAAAATGGTATTGAAATATACATTCTTTGATAATGTCGTTGACCAAACAAAAATAGTAATTTCAAGAAACATCACCCCTACAAAATCATTATAGAACTATACTAACCTGATGTAGAATCAAGCGCCTTGAACAACCTATGTGCATCAGTTCTTTGAGGAAATATTTCATAAATCTCATCAACTGTGATAACACTGTCTTCATTTATATCATAAACATTGAAGTCACAATGGTTTATGATAACTCGAACTTCAAAATGTTCACCGTTCTAAGAAAAAGTAAATTAAAAAAAAATAGTTAGCCAAGTAATCTTTTTAGTATATTTATATAAGACTTAGATATATATACATGTATCTGTTTAAATTGAATCTGATGTTTGTGTTAAACATCTACATTACACATGTTACAGTGCATGTACTGTAAAATTATAATGTTAGTTAATAATGAAGGAAGTTATTGTTAGGTTTACTTCACTTGGTATTACATGACACATTACAAATGTGGTGTCTTACATGTTTATTTGAACATATCTCAGATGAGCATACAGGTAAATCATCCATTAACATGAGATATGTGAATCTTAAGTGTTTACCAATGACTTGCATTTATACCAAAGCGTATTGATTTTAAAGAAAATATAGCAAACGCAAAATTCCTAGACATAAATACTGCAAAACAGAAGGTCATAAAGAGTAATAGTTTAGGCAAATTGCAATTTTTTTTTTATTTATTCTTTTGACGGATGGACTCAATTTCACTTTGAAATTTGAGTTTTTTTGTGTGTTGTATTTTGGGCGGTTTAAAAACAAAGCTAATTAAGCAAACCATCTTCATCTAGTGTCCAATTAAAAAATAATAATTAAATATTGGTTATCTAAATATATATATATATATACCCATGCTGTAGATCTCTTTCCAAACTTCCATTTAAAGCCTACTTTTGCACCTCGATTTCCCCGATTGTCTCCAAAAACTGATCCTCCAATTTCAAAGTTTTTACGTTTGTGTAATATTCCTAGATCTATTCTTGTTGAGTCTTTGTTCTTGGTTAAATCCCCAGTAATGGTGGTCTTTTTTTGAGCGATAGTAAGACTTGCACAAACAGCTAAAACTACTAGGAAGCAACTCAGTTTTAAGTCCTAAAAATATTAAATACTCATAATCAATGTTTGATTACCTAGAAACAAAAACAAGATAAGTTGTGTTTTCTCCATTTTCTTTTTAATAATAAACTCAGTGAAATTTTTGAAATTTAATCAAATAAATATTTCAAATAATATAATGGCGTCAATTCACTCTACAGACAGTAAGGTTTCACGTGATAAATCCAATGACTTTTCTTGTTGACACTCATCATACATCTTTGTCTGTTAATATAAGGTTAACATGGGTGTAATATGATAGACAAACACCCACAACATTACATCATTAAAATATGAATTTCATTGTAGACCTTATAATTGCTGATCCTAACAATTACACATACACTTACAGTAGGTTTAACTAAATAAACAGATATATACCTAAAATATGTATTGTTAAATTAATTTTTCCTTTCTTTCGCATTATTTCTAGATATTGACTTTAAACTAGCAATTAATTGTTCAATAAACTTCACGTTAAATCATGCAGAACGTATTAGCGTTTACAAGTTATCATTTTAAATAAAAAGTCATGTTGCTGCTACAGTCCGTTCTTAAAGATCGTACTGCTTCTGCTTGAGTAATTTACTATTTGCCAGCCAAATATGGACCCAATATAAGAAAATCCTAAATTCATTTTGTTCATAACTCATGTAACTAAAAGACAAACAATATCTCGTTCTGTTTTTCGTTGATGGAATATGTTCGTTGTTGTTCTACGGTTTGCATGTTGTGAAGACTATTATATTATTTGTCTGTCATGTTGTGTGTTATCGATATATTTTTAACATTCTCATAAAGCGGGAGGTTTGGTATGCCTATAAACCAGGTCCATCACACCATTTGTTTTTAAAATGTCCTGTACCGAGTCAGAAATATGGCAGTTGTTATCACATACTTCGTTTCTATGTGTATTAGCGTTTTTTTTTTTTTTTTGGCACTATGGTTTTCCTGTTGTTCTTTGTTTTCCTCTGATAGTTGATGTATTTCCCTCGGTTTTGGTTTGTAACCCGGATTTGTTTTTTTTTCTCTATCGATTTATGACATATGAACACCGGTGTAATGTTGTAGGCTTTATTTAGATATATAGATACATTCTTCTCAAAAAGTTAGATACAAGTTTAAAGAGAAACATGAAATAGAAAAACAAATACACAAAAACGTCAAAAATAGAAAAAAGGAACAAACTGATTAAAAAATATGAATTCAATCCGAATTACAAAATGACCATCAACTCTGGTGACCAGTGTTAATATGCTGTTTCTTTTCTATGACTATGTTTGTTGTTGAGTTCATTAAGTTTAATAACCCCCCAGCGAGCCATCGCAATTGATCTCACCCCATATTGAATTTACTAACCCAATATATATTGTATAATGTCTCTTGGACACTTTAAAACTAATAATACATGTTTCATACTTTCGGAACTATTTTAGCAACCAATTTGACAAATTGACAAACAGGTATCGGTATATTAGAAAATTGCAACTTATACCTAAAAACAGATATTTTACTAACAGACTTTTGAAAAGTTGGAAATAAACAATTTATTTTTTAATTAGGTCTTAAGTTCATATTTAGATATGAATAAAATGATCGCAAAATTATGTATTCGGTTTACGCACTTTTTGAGAATTGCTTAAAAATTGAAGCTTTAAAATAAATACTTGAAACAAATCTTTAAGACATATGAAACGATTGAAAGGTGACAAAAATGATAATCCAATCATTGAACCAATGCATGCATATATCATAAACTTAGTTTTCTGTGCACACTTTTATCATTTTGTACGTAACCATATCGTATAATCGTCAATAAAATATTTCACTCGCTTAGTGTGGATATGAAAATATGGCAGCCAATAAATTGTTGTTTTCACTTTTTTACATCACTGGGTCGATACCTCTGCTGGTGGACTTTCAGTCCCCGAGGGTATTATCAGCTCAGTAGTCAGAACTTCGGTACTGACATGATTTATAACAACCCTCTCTAAAATTGTCCGTTTATAAATTTTGAAATTATATAGAAACTAAGGTTTCAACTCCTTCAGGCAAAGTTGACCTTAGATGAATTTGGCTACTTGTTTTATGTATTTTTGTCATATAGCTCTTTAACTGTTTCGGTGGTACTTATACATCCCTTGGATTTCAAATGTTTGGCTTTGAGCGTTCCTGATGAAGGTAAATCCAGAAAAGCGCTTCGGACGCATGAAATTATCAAACGTGTTGTTTTCATTTTTTTTTTTTTGTCATGTTTTGAAGCAGAAGTTTACCTTTTGTCCCCTTTTTAAACAATCAACAAAAACGCATGGATATTGAAGTATGCACATGTAAACCATGTACATTAAGATGCAGTTTATTCCGATGACGCAGCAGTCTTTACGTTTGACTTTTGTCTGGCATTTTGGTTTTCCCCTTCGCACCTGCGTATTGCGATCACCGGATTTTTACGAGAAAGAAAAGTTGCAGTCACTGCATACAAAAACATGTCGGTGAATTTTTGTCTGGGAAGCCAATAATTAAAATAAGTAAATTTCTTCTAAATTTGGAGGACAAATTAAAGATTTCTTTTCAGAATAAAAATGTATATGTACCAAAATTTTATTGAATTTGAACTTTCATATTGCTTTAACATGTTTAAAGACATTAATAACTGTATGAAAAATGCTTAACTCCGGAGGACATTACTAAATATATTCTTTAAAACAAAAACTTATGGTTTGTTCCAACCTTCTTATTGGTGCGTTTGTAGCCGGTTTTCTGTATTTTACTTCATAATTAATGTGTCAAACTATTTCTTTTGTCAAAATTAACTTACATATACTAACCAAAAACAATCGACAATGTACAAAAAACGATGACAGATACAGAAAATGAAATTCAGACTCGTCTGTCGAAATTAATTTAAAAATAACTGACAACTCCATGGCAATGTGTAACAATGTATACCTACCATTTTACTGTGTAGTTTTTGCTAGAAAGTTGAACTGACAATTTGATTTTAATCTATCTTGTTATATAGTATACGTATTGGAAAATACGCCCTGATTCTGCAGCTTTGAAAAACATATTTTTGCGGTCAAACTTTCCATATGGTTAATAACATTATACCTAGATAACAAAAAAAAAACAAATCCGCAAATTTAAAGATTATATAATAAAACAGTTCGAACACATATTAAGAAGTGAAATTTAACAATGTCACTTATTTAATTGACATATCAATCTAAGGAGTCATTCAGTACAAACATATCAATGTACAATGTATTATATATAAAAATGCATAAAAACATGTTGTGTATCAATAATATGTGTAGCAAATTGCGTGCTTATAATATCAACTTAATAGCTTGTAAACATAATGTCGTAAAATTAAAAACTAATTATGTAGATTTATAGCATTGTCCTAATACCGGATCTTTTGTTTTAGTTATGTATTTTAAAAAAATATAACAAAGTTTCAACATGAAATCTGTCTGACATGTCAGATAGAAATATTGGTCTTAAAAACAACATTTTGATGACTTTGCCACACGTATCTCTTTTTTGCATGCGATAAAATTACATGTTTTAACGATTTCACAGAATGAGGACAACATAGAATTATCATAGGAATATATGTATTTTGTTACACTGCGGTAATACCTAATACCTATATTGGTCATGACGCCATTTAATATAACCAAACTAATGTGTTTGTGCCGAGAAGAGCATGATAACGGCAACGAAGGGAAAAGGAAATCCAATTTGTTTTGTGATCAAGTCTTACGTCCTACCCTGAATTACAACTTTTTTTAAAAATGTTCTAGGCTGAAATGCTCTTTCCTCCAATTATACTTTCCGTTAGACATCTCAGCAGTTTAATGTCAATATATTTATTATCACATACAACGGATATCGTTGATACTATTCATTTAACAATATGAACACACGGACAATCAAACTACGTTGCAAAACAACAGACAATCGACTTTATATCATGAATCAGTGCATAATTCGTTCTATTAAATCTGTATCATACGGAACAGTAATAAGAAGCAGACATATCCACAGCAGAATGAAGAGTGAAACAATTCCTGTTTTGTTTTTTTTTCTTTATTTTGACCTGTTGGTTAAAAAAGAAGATGTGGTTTGATTGCCAATGAGATCAAATGTCACATAAATTAATAGCTATAGGTCACCGTATGGCATTTAAAAATGAGCAAAGCCATTCCATTATATGATAAATTTAAATTCATTACTATTACATGGTGTATTATGTGGCTGATACAAGCATAGTCATTTGATATCTGATGGGTATTTGTCTCATTGTCAATTGTCAACAGTTTTTGGTGGGATTCGTGTTGCTCCTCCTTTTGTTTTTTCTTATGTTTTTGATGGTATTGTTTGGTAATTTGTCTGATTCTTTTTTAGCCATGACGTTGTCATTTTATTATCAACCGATGAGTTTGGACGTCCTTCTGGTATCTTTAACATCTCTTGTTTACCAAATCATTACATTTTGCAAGCCGTTGATTCCATATGATTTTTTTTAAAACGATTAAGTTTGGTCTTATCATGTCCTTAGACTTATTAGTGTAAGTCTAAAAGGCATTTTTTAATAATATATCTTACTACTTAGAATGAATAAGAATTAGCGGAATTGTTTATTTCTCTCGATTTTTTTTGTTCAAAAATATACTTTTCAGTTTACACATTGTCGAAATGTTTTGTTTGCGGAAGTAAGTTTAGTTCAAATGGATGGTTTGTTTTGTGCAAGCGTATTTCTCCCTTAAAATGAGCAATTTGTAAAACTGTGAAATAAAATGAAATGTTCGATAAATGTGGATTTACTTTGAAAGTAGATTTGCAAAAATACAAACACAAGTTTTTCGGATCGGAAATCAAACTATATAAGCTTCGATAGAAATAATAAACTTTGTGTTCATATAAGCAAAATTATTGTGTGACAAAAACAAAATCAGAAATGAAACATAATATAGGAAAGACAAAACAATTCTTGAAGAAATGAACACACGGAAAATAAAATATAAGAGTGCTTCCCTCAGCTTAAATGACTAATTTATGAAGGTGCCAATATTTTAAACCTTTTTTTGTTCCATAATATAGGGGTTAAGCATTTCTTTTACTTTTTGTTTTGGGGTAAGAGACATACGCTTATGAGAACATGGAGAAGATAAACACCTTTCAATTACATTATCTATTAAGCTTTTGTTCCTGTACATGTGTATTCAAGGAGGAAGCGTCCAGTAAGTGGAACAGTCTACATATTCTATGAATTTTATGATGGTGACCATTTTCTATTTCTATAAGTTATGGTCTCTAATTATCAACTTACTGAAGCATTGTTTTTGTAAAAAAAAAGTCATTGGAAGCTAATCAAATTTCGTATCCAATTAAGTTTTAAATTTTTATAAAGTAACATTTACTATTTTCATCATAATGATTTATTATATTTCCATTTTTTTTTATCTGAAGTCAAGGACTTTAAAGACTTTATTGTATTCATGTCCTAATACTTATCGACTTTATCTTAAAATATCTGGGATGGATGATGTAATCTTTGCATATTTATACCATGAATAAGTACCATGAGAGTTCAGCAATTTTGACAATATAAATGCTTTTAAATAAAGGACTGATATTTCCAGAGTTCATTCTTGTCATGTATGATAAAGACTTTGCAACAATGAATTGTTCAAGGGAGGTTCCTGCTAGTTCTGCTCGGACTGCTATATTTGATGTTGTTTTTCTGGTGCCCACAAAAATTAGAAAACTAATAATTTGAACCTTTTCAGATGAAGTTTATCAAAAAATAAAATTTGATCAACGTATTTACTATAAAGATCAGTTCTTATCTTGGCCTTACATTGTGTTAAATAATTCTTAATATTACTAAAATGATCTAACCAAAATCTACAACATCGTTATAATTAAGTTTAAAATTGCAATGCCCGAAAATATTTGAGACTAAATACATTTTGAATATAACTCCTGGCAATATGACACATAGATAACACAGAACACGTCAGCTATCGCATATGAAAGCTACTGGGGGACTACGCATGTCACTGGCCATAGAGATTTGGAGTATAATAGTTTTGAATCAATGAAAAATGAACAGGTGTTTTTCTTTAAAGAATGCTGTTATTGTTGCATAATCAAAATCGAAACATTATACCTATTCAATAACAAAACTAACAAAATGGATGTAACAATGAAACCTCTGATCACAATTCGCACTTTTGCACATTTGCTGTCTTTAAACTACAACTGTATGGAAGATATTAAAAAAAGGTTTTAAAATGTTCGGGCGTTTGGTTTCATTCTCTAGGCCATAAAACATTATAAGAAGATGACTAAAATACGACAATCTATGCAATAGCAAATTAACACATAATATATTTGAAACAAGTATGAAAATATTAAGAAATTATATGATTGCCACAACTTTCCACCTCAGTCGTTATGACGTAGGTGTAAGCAGCAAACGGTATTCAACAGTGAGTAATATTAAACAAGGGCATTGAAGTATCAATCCATGACACAAAATCAGTACATGCAGAGCAAAAAACAAACAAAAAACACGAAAGAACGCCTATATTCGTGTTCTTCTAGTTTAGTTCAGTTTAAACATATTTTATTGTTCCAAAGGGACAAATGGATTAGACCCAAGTTTTTCAACCTAGTAACTACTTCTCATAGACACGGTGACTAATTGTCATCTATAACAGACACCGACATGAGCAAAAATAAACAATTCAAACTGGGAAACACGCGGTCTGATCTTTTTCACACAATTTATTGTAAACAATGTGATAGATAGCAACCAAACGACAAACACTGAAATAAATGTAAGATCGTCATGTTAGTATGAATGAAACCAACTAAGATAAATTAAAGTATCTTCAAAGTATTAAAGGGTTTACATTGTTTGTAAAAACATTTTCGCTATCAGCATATTTTGAGGCAATAAGTATAAAAATCACAGAAATGAAAAATAAAATAACAAAAATACCGAGCTTTAAGACATATTCATTACGACACACTTTATTATGATGAAATACGACTTTCTTCAAATATGAAATAGAGTGATAGATGTTTGCAACTTGAAAAGTCTTGACGTTATAAAATAATAAAATATTTTGCTGTTATTTCCGATAAATCGTGTTGTCTTAAAAGACACTGTATTTCAAGATGTCAAACATAAGTTTTAATGGATATTGTCCAATAGATGATATTCTAGTTTTTCGAAATAAGGAAGACAACACTTTATCATATTTATAATTTGCTAACGTTCGACGTGCTTTCCTTGATTTACCTCCATCAGAATTGCCTAAAGCTGGATACTTGAAAAGCAAGGATATATGAGAAACGGAACAGTTGAAATGCTAGACATATAGTATGACTTTGTATATAACACCTAAACATAACAATATTTATCAGGCATATTTTAAGTACATTTAAAAAAACATATTCTTAGATGTTAATCACAATGAATTAATTGCCTTCAACATGTTATATAAACATAGATTTCTAAACCAGTACGCTCAGTCTAAATTTAAAGGTAGAATAAACTAAATACCTTTTTTTTTAAAAGAGGATGAAAATAGAAATAGTAAACAATATAGAAACAGGACAAAAAGCACGAGAAATGTTGAGACAAATGATAAGGCATACTCAAAACACACTGTATGTAATAATCTGAAGTACACGATTTACTGATCCTTGTTTATTGAAATAGATATAAGAAGATGTGGTATGAGTACTTATGAGACAACTCTCTTATCCAAGTCACAATTTGCAAAAGTAAACCATTATAGGTCAAAATACGGTCTTCAACACGGAGCCTTGGCTCACACCGAACAGCAAGCTATAAAGGGCCCCAAAAATGACATGTGTGAAACCATTCAAACCTGGAAAAAAAACGGTCTAATCTAAATAAAAAACGAGAAAAGAAACATTTATGAACCACATCAACAAACGACAACTACTGAACTTCAGATCCCTGACTTAGGACAGGTGCAAACAAATGCAGCGGGTTTAAACGTTTTAATAGGTACCAACCTTAGCCCTTATCTGAAACAATAGTGTAACATCACAATATAAAAAGACACACTATAAAATATCAATTGACATGGCTTAAATCAATCTAAAGACATATTAATACAAGTGAACATATACTGAACGAATGAATGTGATCTATGACATAATGTAAATATAAAATCATTAGACTAAGGGGTTATATTTTAAACAATTTCAGAAAAAGAAAATTGAACAAAATGCCGCCAAATAGAATAAGCATGGACTAAGCAGTATTCATTAAGGACATATCTAATATAAAGACCAACAATATTTATTTACTTAGTTTTTGATTTATATCGATCAGTTCCCTTAAAGGTTCTGGATCGAACCATTCACTGCAAATTGAAGTTGCACTGCACTTTTCTTTGGTTCGTGTAATATAATTTAACCACAGTGCTTTGGTTTGAATCTTTAGTGTCGTGTCGTGTTTAATCATGTTTTGGTTTGTTTCTTTCTCTGTTGTCTTTGTCATTCTGTAGTCTACTTTATTCGACTCTTGGCTTAAGATATATATGAATACGATATAGTACGGGGTCAGCTTGAAACAGTCTAATAATAAGGCAGGGGAACCTCGTTTACAGTTGATAATATAATCAACTTTATGTTTTACTGATAATTAGTGTGTTTAGTCATTCAAACACTTACTTGGTATTTTCTTTACAACCTTTCACTCACACCACATCTTCTTAAATATATATAAGAGTTAAAATCAACTCGAAAGGTGACGTCTTTCATTACTTAATTCGACGGTTCATTTAGTGTGATGAATTCGATCTTATACATATATTAACTACATCGCATGCGATTCTTTAATTCACAATCGCCAGTAGTACGAGTGGGAAAACAGTTAAATCCTGTAAAAATCACCTATGCCCAAAACAATTTCTGAACATGTTAATATAAAAACTTTAAAAATTGAGTAATGCTTTGATCATGTTTATATACAATATGTTTGACAAAGAATTTGGTTGAAACGGTATGAGCAGTATGCCCTTGATGAGCAGACGTAAACGATAAATGAATTTTGAGAGAGTACACTGTTTTTTTAAGTACAGGTATAACATTGACAAAACTTTGAGTAGTACTCGTTACCGGTTTATAAATACATCCTTGGTCGCATCTCAATTACTCAAAGTATATATCACTTTTATGTCATTATGCACAAAACATAACTTTTGACCTATCTTGCAATAAAGCTCACCAACAAAAAATATAAAAGAAAATGGCAAAATGCAAGTTTATTGTGTATATATGGGCTTTCACTTAAATATTCTTCATATATATTCCTTCATGCATGTTGTAAAGATTTACTTTGCAAATTATCGAACATTATCACTTGTTTCAAGTGTGTTTCAACACTCTTTTATATTTCGTAGTGTTGCTTTCTGCTTTTATCTTTATTTCGTAATGAGCTGTTTTATAAATTTTGTTTAACTATTTATTTATACATTTTATTTTACTATACTTGCCGATGTCAAAACAATTCTACACAATCCCACTACTCAATGCAAACACATTTTGGTAATTTCCATGAACTTTCAAGGACACAAACGTCCCTTTGACTATAAGTTCATGTATTAAGACCAGTTACATAAGTAGTCTTTATCCATAAACGTGACAAAATGAAGGTAAGATGGTACCAGCTATAAACAGAAAAGCTTATAGTTTTAACTTGATAGTATCACAAATACAGGTATCTATAGTATAAGTTGAGTCGACAGAAAGACTGAACAATGGTGTATTTCAATATGTATTCTTTATTCTGTATTTTATCTTTAATTGGAAGTTCTTATTCACAAGTTATTTCTAAAGGAAAATGTCCAGACGTTTAAGTGGTATCCGACTTTAAGCTTTCATCGGTAAGTTGAAAAAGGCATCGTATATTATTTAAAAGTATTTTGTAAATGCTCATTGTTATCTGTTATATTCTTATTTTAAAGTGAAAACGTTTGTATATACTGATTGAACAATGGTGTATTGGATGTTGTTTTTATCTCTTTCCCGTTTATAAGTGCGAGGTAAAACAGTCAATGATTTGGATCTAAAACAAATGTTTAACTCTGAAGCAATTTAATGAGCCCCCCCCCCCCTTTAATGTGATTGTTCAAAGTCCTGAGGCTCTTCGGTATATTCCTATGTTTCTATCTTAATATTTCTGGTATTTTTAGGAGATTTTGATGATTGATTTGTATTGAAAAAGCCGCTCACGCTGTCGACATACCAGATGTTGCTCCTGTTGGAGTGCTTGTTCTTTCCTCAGTGCTTTTTTTATAACTTGAGTTGTTACTTCTTAATTGAATAATAAGATTTAAACATTAATAAGCTACTGGTGTCATTACTTAATAATATTCTTCTATTTATTATTATTTAAAAACCTCTTCGTTAATATAATTATATGATGTACGTTCTTATGTGAGAGATCGTTGATTTGTACACAGGTTGGGTGAAACCGAGGACTTTACAACTAATATGTTCTGCTTCTTTGTAAAACATTTGTCATTCATTGTTAACAGCAACAAATGGTCAATTCTAAGATCCATTTATATGTTGGAGTAGATATGTAGGATGAGAATCTGGGAATATTTTATTTTTCGTTGTAGTTGTTTCAACCCTGATTTCTTTCTTTTTAAAGAGAAAGACTTTGATACAGTTATTCATCACTGCTAAGTTTGTATCCCTCATCTTCATTCTTATGTTTTAAGCTTTACGTCACACAGATTATTCTTATTCTGTCACACATGAATGATGTGTTGAAGACCCATTAGTGGCCGTCGGCTGTTTTCTGCTGTTTGGTCGGGTTGTTGTCTCTTTGACACATTCCCCATTTCCATTCTCAATTTTATTGAAACGCATTGATGAAGTCTATTATTTCAAGCACGTTACTGCTTTAACGAATAGTCTCCCTTAATCCAGACATACCCTTTCAAACTGACTTTGGGGTACAAATATCATGTTAAACAGGGTTTTTTCTTATCTATGTATGATATATGTGTATATTATTATAGTATCTTGGAGACTGGTACGAGATATTCAAGTTTAAAGCTGATTTTGAAAATGGTCAAAGATGTATCCATGCTAATTACCAAAAAGAAGGCAAATGGTCATATACAAGTATATAATAGAGGGCAAACAGGGTAAGTCCAACCTTATATTATAAAAACGTCATAACAAAATTACTTTAAAATAAACTATTTTTGACGTTTTTACCTATCATGTCTGTTTTGTCTGACTAGGAACAGTCATTTTCCGAAGACAATTGGGCGTTGTACTTGTATGGATACCTAGCTAAACATCCAATCTGTATTACAGTTATATATAGTTCTGTTATATCGACAAAACTGTGTGCGCAACCCGAACAGACACAATTGGTTAAGTTGACAATTATTTGCATCTAGCACCCTAAATTGTGTAAACATACATTATACCGTTAAAGGACATTATTCGTAAATATAAATCAAGATGCAGACATACAAGTACCCGGCCATTTCCACGCTGTGCTTTTGTTAGATATATTTCTACATGTTTAACCCTCCCACATTCTGTATGTACGTGCCTGTCTTAAGTCAGGAGCCTGTAAGTCAAAGAATGTCATTTGTTGCTGTGTTACATATTTGTTTTTCGTTCATTTTTGGTATTGCAATTATGCCGTTAGTTTTCTCGTTTGAATTGTTTTACATTTGTCATTTCGGGGCAATTGTGTCTGACTATGTGGTATGGACTTTGCTCATTTGTGAGGGTCGTATGGTGACCTATAGTTGTTAAGTTTTGTGTCATTTGGTCCCTTGTGAAGAGTTGTCTCAGTGGCAATCATATCACATCTTCTTTTTTATATCTAATACGTTCAGGTATTTCACATCTTTTATGGTAATATTTTTTGCAAAGCACACAAATGTCGGCATTCACCTCAAAAGATAACCAAACCTTTAAACAGGCTTATTCAGAAGAGATATAGTTACGATACCGTTGTCAGGTCACTAAAGATGGCATATTTTGGTATTAATATTGATTCACTCATAGGGTCTTTTTATTGGAAATAAACACATTTATTCTAAAACCAGTTGGGGCCTCGGTGGCCGAGTGGTCTAAGTAGTTACTGCTGTAGTCACTAGCCAGTCAACACTGAGGTTGTGAGTTCTAACCCCGCTCGTGCGGGTGCACTCGACTCCAATCTTAATTGGCTAGGATTGTCAGTTTTCCTATCGAAGGTCGGTTGTTTTCTCCGGGCACTCCGGCTTCCTCCACCAAAAAAAAACAGTTAATCCTCGAAAAAGAGAAAATATTCATGTAGCAATTTTGCTAACATATGCCATAAACAAACCATAAACTTAAATTTGGTCATTGATGCAGGTTCTATGCATTTGAATTTTGCGTTCTTGGAAATAGCGAAAGTTACACATATCAGAAACGGAATTTAAGTTTACTTTGAATTAATTTTTTTACAACAATTAATCACCCAAAATCATTAAAAATCTCTACAAATAATCTTAGGTATGTTCGGCAAATTTAATGTCAATATTTAAGTCAATAGAATATGTAACCACCTCTCCTCCGATACAGTTCCATAACACGGCGTCTCATACTCTGTACAAGCCTTCTGAACTTTAGTTGAGCAAATTTATTCCATTCATCAACAATTGCTCCTCTTAAATCGCCAAGATTTTGCAAAGGTGGATCTCTGCGATTGAGATTTCTGCCAATGGCTTCCCAGACATGTTCGATAAGGTTCAGGTCTGAAGACATGGAAGGCCAAAAGATAGTGTCAATGGCTTCTTGATCTTTGTAATCGGTTACAATCCTTGCCCTGTGTGGTCTAGTGTTGTTGTCCATGTACGAGGGTCTTGACGCAAGTTGGGGATTCTCAAAATGAGGGACTACAATGTTTCTAAGCACCAAAACCCTGTATGTCTGTCTGTTCATGTTACCCTGCAAAATATGCATACCCAGCTTACAACAGTATGAGAAGAAACCTCTTAGATTGCTGTCGTTGGGCAATTGTTGTTTTGAGGATAAGCAGTTTTATTTCCCCACCAAACTCGTATTCTGCCGTCTATTGGTCGTGACAGAAACCAACTCTCATCTGACCACTGCATATTTTGCCAGGTTCTCATGTTCCATCGTCCATGGTCATTTGCCCTTTGAAACCTGATTATACGGTGCCTGGCTGTTAGGGCACGTCTTTTGACAACACGACGTGCTCTTAGGTAGCCTCTATGAAGTCGACAGACCAATGTTCGAACACTAACACGACCACCTGGAGGCCAGTGGTGTCTAAGCTATGGGGTAGGGGTAAATGGTTTGGCTTTAGCATGACCAATAAGTAGTCTGTCATCACGATGGGTAGTTAAACCCGGACCTTGGTCTATCATTTACAGTTCCTGTGTCAATATGACGTTGTAAAAATCTGATAATGACGGTGCGATTAACATTGAAATGGTTGCCAATGCTCCTAGTGCTCTTACCGGCATTTGACATGTCAATTGCTTGTCAACGTTCAGTCACAGATAACTTACCGCTTGCCATATTTCACAGTGACTTGGTGAAGGTCAAATTTCACCTGTACGCGGGACAGTAGGAAAATGATTTTAAGGCATCAAAACAGTGTATTTGTAGAGTGCAGATGACCTTTAATAAATGGTTGTTTGGCGGGTATATCGGAGTTTAATTTTTTTGGTCGTAATGAATTTTCTTAGTGTATGCTATAGGCAATTCATTACACCAAACATAAACATGATAAATATTTTTTTCGCAATAGTTAAAAAAATATTGACAGTTATATTTAGGTGGTGCTTAACTTTTGGCGGACTGTATAGTACACAATTTTTTATAGGGGCCAGCTAAAGCCCATCTCCGGGTGCGGGTTTTTTCACTGTGTTGAAACCCATTGGTGGCCATCGGCTGTTTTCTGCTCTTTGGTCGTGTTGTTGTTTCTTCGACAAGTTCCCCTTTTCATTATCAATTTTATTATATATACACAACACAACTTAATTAGATTATCTAATATAACAGACAATTATATCTAGAATGGTATAGTAGAACATAATGACCTATACAAAAAGGTGGATGAACATATACATAGCTACCCAAAGAGTTACACGAACAAAGGGACATTATAAAAGTAAGACAAAATAAGGAAAACTCCAAAAATAAATGAAAAAAAAAACAATTGATTGTTGGTGTTTAGGGCAACTGTCAGCAATTTTCGTTATATCGTAGGTTTCAACTTTTATTAGTACATGAAGCCGCATTTTCCGGAGAGAACCTCTGAATTTTGAGCAGTAGCACTGACCATCTTAGTCAATTGGGATTGGAATTGAATGCACCTGCCACGTTTTGGGTCACACATCGTAATTGATTGCAGTAATTCTTTCTTTTCGTTTACACGACATAATTCAAGTAATTCTTCAGCTATATAAATATTGGAATATCCTGTATTAAACAATAAACAACAAGGTTCAATCGAACTGTTTTATTAGAGATTTTAGAAAAAATTAAAGAAAGTCAATTTGATGACAGAAAAAAAAGCCTTCTAAAAAAGTCTTGCATAACAAAATTGCATGCATGCAAGTTTTTTCACTTCTTAAAACACAAAAAAAAAGCTTAATTAAATGACACGGAATATTTGAATTTAAAAAAAAAAAAAATCGGACAGAAAAAACACGTTTACCGAAAAAACAAAAACCCAATAAACGGTACCACCGTATCATCATTAACAGCGATCATTGGTGTTTTCTTTTCTCTTCTCTCCTCAGAGATGGAAAAATAACAACTGCGATTTGTGACGGATACAACCCAGACCCAAAAGAACCAGCAAAGCTTGCCATTAAGTTTTCTCCAGGTACTTATTAAGCTATTTTTCATTTTGATTTGGCTTTTTATTAAGATATATAAGACAGAAGGAAATAAAGTTACAATGTGCATTGTTCGCAATAATTTTTTTGAATTTTCATGAATGCAAAATATCACACCGTTCTTTGTAATCCAACAGATGTTTGGGTAATTATTAAGATAATGTGTAACAGATAGAAAAACGTCATTTTGTCCGTTGCTAATCCATCAATAACATCAATTTTAGTGGACGTTATTCGCACGTTTAGGGGCACTTTCATTTATGTCCTACGAGCGTTCAAAAACATGATGCCATATTACACGAGATATTCGGCAAATCAAATTGTAATGATTGTCAATCAGCTTTGCAGTCACTATATATTCACTTATACCGCACTCTTATTTTTATTCATATCAATTTTTAAATCAACTATACATTATAAGTAGCATGAAAGTTGTTTTGCAGATTGGATTTGATAAACTGTTGTTAGTATTTTCTTTTGGTCATTGTCATTAATTTAAATGTTAAGTCAAAATAAGCTTTTCTTTGTTTTCTATTAGTTTTTTCCGCTTTGTTTAACAGTAGCCTATATAAACACTCATATGAGAAAAAAAAAATGGTGAAATTAGATTGTGCCCTCGATTCCTGTCCTCTAAACATTTTCTTACATTGTTGTTTTCTATAATTACAGTTGCTCCATATGGTAAATACTGGGTACTGGATACCGACTACACATCATACTCCTTGGTTTAATCCTGCACCGATTTATTTTCACTAACGCATGTCGAGTTCGCCTGGGTACTTTCTAGACAAAGAACGCTTGATGCAGCAACATCATCTAGACTTTTTAATGTTATGAAATCTTAGAATATTGAAACTAGCAACTTCATGCCTGAAAACCAAACAGATTGTAAAAACTAATTAACAATAATCCATCATATTTTTAAATTGTCAGGTTATAGTACAATTATTCATTTTTGTCCATGATTGGTTGAGAGTTGCTATCAAGGTTTATAGAAAAACATATTTTGTTAATGATATTTTACACATCTAAATCATCATGAAATACTAAATGGATCATATTGAAAAACATGTAATGATCAAATATAAAATAAATGTAAACAAAATTATAAGAACTGGTGTTTTTTCTATATTTTCTACCCATTCACTGACATTATAAAGAACGAGTTAGTTGACCTTTATGATATATCTGTTTTACTGATGACAAAATGTATGTTACAATTATCATATACCAAAATTCCCCCCTTTTTTCTTCGAAGATGACCAGCCGAATTATACTTATTACCGGGTTTGTACATATATGAGCAACACTGCGGATACGACATGTGGAACAAGATCTGTTTAACCTTCTAGAACACCTAAAATGATTCGGATTTTGGTGTGTTTTTATGGTTCTTTTTGCTCCGTTTTCTTTCATATCTTTCCATGTTGTGTATTGTAGACTATTGTTTGCCGTTTTATCGTTGTTTTATTTTTCTTCTTGACATTGCTTGCCTTGTAAACGTTCAAAATTCAAAAAAATACTTTTAATTTTAACTTCCCATTATGATGATAATGCTAATGCCACATTAGGAAATAAATGTAAAAAAAAACCGTGTCAGTTACGAAGCACTGGGATTTTAAATTACAACTTCTAGTAAACAAACATAGAACACAATCGATTCGAAACGTCGAAAATTATTTATTGGGAAACATCGTTAAGAGCACGAAAGAGAAAAAAAAAAGTGGAAGACCGAAACTGATTGAATGACTGAAGCGCTATTATGACCTAAAGAGTCCTTTTGATACCAATCTTTCTTTGTATGGAACAATTAATAAAATAAAACAATGCAAAATTTGGTTCATCTGAAGCATTTGGAAGAAATTTGAAGAAACACATTTCATTAATAAAGAACGGGTAAATAAGTTATCTAGTCGTTGTAGATTCTTTGTCGTTTCAGTAGTATATTCCATATTCGTGCCCTGCACAATAGAATCATTTCCAGTTAAATTTTCTACTTCTACGACAACGCCAACCGTTTTTAACTTGTTTGTGAAAGTCGCAAGCTCTCTTCCAGTCTTCTTTTTCAACTTTTTTGTAAATGGTAATTTGAATGTGGTCATAATGGTTACTTTTGCCTGGATAACCCAATCGTATTTTTGGTTGTCTTGCGGAAGTCATTGGCAATTATATCATATCTCCGTGACTGTTCTTTGATGTCATTCATTGAGAGACGTTGGCATTTTATGTTCAGCTAAACAGAGTTTTATGAAAATAAGAAGCTCCATTCCTGATTGTAACACAAGCGTCCCGGGTAAAGTTATAATATGTTCATCAGAACAAATCAAAGTCAACATCGAATTGTTAAGTTTCGTAATTACTTATATTGGAATGAAAGTGGCAGTCTCGCATATAATCTGAGCAGTCTCATTTATATTTTTAGGAGTAAGGAAAGACATATGTCTGAGATTCATATCATTGTATTGATATTCATAGTGACTTAATGTGTCACCAGATGAAAATCAGGTTGATAGTGTGTATGTGCTTTCCACACAAAAACCGCTTGCATCGATTTATAATGAGGAATGACCGAAATCGACAATACTTGATTAAGACAGTGTTAATTTAAGTTACCCTATCGACCATTTTGGGGTTCATGCAGTTCCCGCAAGTACATTTTGTTAACTTGGTTAGGATTTTCTTTGAGATAAACGACTGTTAATTAAATTTATATAACATTTGTGAAAAGAGTATTGGTAATTATACCGTTAGATCGATTTGTATTTGGTGATTTGTTAAATGGGACTGATTTCCTTTTTGGTTGGTTTGGATATAAACTGACAATTTCCAATTGCAAACAACAACGTCGACAAAACTAGCAAATCAACAACACAATGCACAGAAAACTGTTCAGTGTGCAGCACAAACACCATGACCAAAGGGCGCTGATCTAAGGTGCTTTACAACGGACAGTTTTCAATACAGATGTAGCGTTTGTATTATTACTAGACAGGAAATCACAACAAGAATTATTTCTAGAGATCCTTACAATATGGCTTATAAATGTGATTAAAGAAAAATCCATACAATGATGAGTAAAATAAATAAATTAGTCCCTAATCCAATGAAAAACAATTTAAGGCTCAAACACATCAAACGAAGGGATAACAACTGTCATATTCCTGACTTAGTACTAACCAAGCTAAACAGGGAAACACTAAAGCGTGTACATATGCATACTTATGTTCATTGCATTTTTTTGGGGTATTATTTGCTTAACATGTGTTTATCATATTTAGGGCCTGGCGTAAATATGTAAAGGTAAGCGAGCGCTCAATGTGAATACCACAAGTCAGAGATTAAAGGGCGTATAGCTTTGATGTCACACGTTTACGTTTCACGCACACTTCGTAGCAAACGCTCATTTTTTTTTTGGCCTAAACTTTCTTATGCTTATTATAAATTCTTCGTGTTAGAATTAACGCTTGACCATATTACCAAAACTATCCGAGTCTGTAAGAACCTAGACGTGGTTACATCAATTCAAATTCTGTATTACTGATCTGCTAATATGCAGTTGGTATGCACGCATCTGTGTGTATATTATCAGTAATTCATAAGTTACGGTGTCTCCTAATTATATAATTTAATGAAGGTTCATCAAACTAAAATCTTTGATATTTAAACTAACTGTTGTTGAATGATTCCATTCATCTAATTATGAACGTATTAATGCATTGTAGATTGATATGATTAACACGAGGCATATAATCAACAAATCTTTAATTTACAAGCGTCAGTGCGTTAATAAAACGCGACGTTTAGTAAGTTTCAAAATGGCGAAAATTAGACGAGGTCGTTTAACTATTTCAGCAAATATTGTTCTGACAGCATCCGAAGTTACCAGGGTAAGTAAATAAATGTATTGGTCAAGAGGAAAATGAGTATCACTAAAAAAACAGTTGATGTCAAAATGTGCATTCAATGTTTTAATGTGATCATACAGATGTCGAAGTGCATCCTACATGTTTCTGTACGAAACTGTTTATACATTGTCCTTAGGTGAAATTTGTTTTTTATTGACAACGTTGAATAGAAATATTTATTTCTATCACTGTTTGCACTAAACAAACTGTTGTACTGTTTAAAAAGAAAGTGATTTTTTTTTATTCACGTTGAAATGGCTTCCATTCCCAATTTTATTTTATAATTTAAAGACCATAAAACAAAGATTTTAAAGATTACAGGTCACCGGAGGACCTTAAACAATGAGTAAAACCTTTACCGTATGAAAAGCCTGATAATGCCCTTTCATCCTTTTCATCAATATCTCTTCCCAAGAAAAATGTGTTTTTTCTCCTATACATGATGCAGTTAATATCCCATTTATTTTTGTGGATCGGAACAACTATAATAAAGATACACCAGAAAAGGCGCATGTTATGCAGGGAATGAGACTCTAATTATATTTATATCGATGATAGATTTGATCTGCGCAAAAAATCACCATTGCACAATGAGGAATTGCCATCAGAAAAGTAGATCGCCAACAATTCGATTATCACTAGGTATAGGTACATAGGAAGTAGATCGAACAGAAAGTATGTTTTATACCATACTTTATTTAAATCATTTGAATAACTGTATATATACTTCATATGCATTTAATATTTTAGAGTTATGCCTAGGAATACGCTTACGGCCAATTTGCTCTTATTTCCGCTAAAAGATATATTCATTTGAAATAACAATTACTTATCTTGGTTTTGCTTCATTTACAGTAAGTGTTTTCGTTTTAGACTATTGGTTTGCCATGGTAAAAACTGCTAAAATGGTCATACAGTGTCATTCTTGGACACGTGTCACTACAGAATTATTGATAAAAACAGATTGCATATTTATTTATACAATATGGCATACGTTCTTTGCATTTTAACCTATTTAAACGCACACTATATGCATATGCAGCCATGTCATGATTAACAATTTATTTATTTATGCCTTTTTCAGACTCTGTCTCTTGGTTTTATATTGATGGCAATCTACATTAAATTTGGCGACGACATCTTGGATACTGATGTCATTAAAATTGTGGATATGCAAGACGTAGCCGGCATGCCCCTTGGAACAACAGTGAAATCAATTATATTATCTCTGATTGGAGTTTTTGTGTTAGAACTTCTTACTGGGATATTTGGTATATGGGGAGTTATCGGACGGAGAAAGCCCATGCTACTGATAGTAAGTAATCCCCTATTCATCGTATGCATAAAATATTGACACCTCTAAATGATTAGTTTTTTTTTTCAATTTAAAGATGAGTATCAATAATGAGTGTATTTGCTTAAAAAAGAGAGGAAAAAACAATAGTCATAAACATGTAATAAAACACACTTATAGAAAACAGCTTATAGTGGAATCTTCGGTAACCGACTTGTACAACTTATGCATTCAATTGAAAACGAATTGACAAATGAGACGTTCTTAGATATACAGAAATATATAACTTTCTTAGTACAGAAGCAGAACATATATTATACCGAATAGGAACATGAACTCAAGTGTCTATTTTGTTTTAAATACTGGTAACCGAATACCTGATTAAAACCAGATAGAACATAGGAGTATACTAAGGAATACAAAACAAAATGTAAGTGATAAAACTATTCGTGTTTTCACAAACTTTAACAAAACAATTCACCTGTTTTTATGAATACACGAAAAAGAATAATATAAAGGTCCTCTTGACATCTTATAATACTTTCATTATACAAAACGAATTCCAAAAGATTTCAAAGTTGTTTAAACTGTTGAGAATAACATGCATTTAATCAAACTGTTAACAACAAAAATATCAATTATCATATCGTATATTGTAGACCGTATTGATGAGTTCATTGATGATCATAGTATACAGTATATATTTAGTCATTCTTTCAATTTTATACAAAGAGGTAAGTAACTTCACTATAAATAATCAGAATTTCACAAGTACCAATCCAAAAAGATTTGCAATAAAAAAATCAAAAAACGATTCAGTTACGACTACCTGTTTTGTTTCTAAATTCTTACCTGTAAACACCGAAATTATATTAAGGATTGTGTTACGTGAAATGTTTAAAATTCAAACCAATATCCAGGATTTATCAAAATATAATCATCATTCCATCATGTTGATTTTGAGTTGGTAATCCTGAGAAGTCATTAGTCTGTTTTTCGTACCTTTCAAAATTCAACGAAACACGAAGTTCATGGATGATTTATCTTTATTATTCGCGATATACCTAATTTCTTAAGTTTCCTTACACACCACGTAATATTCCTGGGTTAGTCAAAAACTCCAGGAGGCATCTTTCAAAATAATTAATTAAATAAATAAAACATGGCTTACATAAGTTACTGTAAAACAACCTTTGGTAAAAAGTGAAATAACAAAAATACCGATCTCCAAGGACAATTCAAAACAGAAAGTCCCTTAACAAATGGCAAAATCGAAAGCTCAAACACATCAAACGAATGGAAAATGGCGACCTAAATAAACTGTGGATATACAAAAAAACCTAATCCGTAGAGTAAAAGAAATATGAATCAATCCCTTTGTGTAATAGTAAGTCAAAAAAATGCCTTCTCTACCTTATAAACTTGCATTCATCAATAACTTACAGACAAATAAAAATAATAGTCAGACTGTGATGTTTAAAAGAGGAGTCAAAATGAGTTTAAATTTGAAGTAAATCAAGTTATTTCACACATTAAATCTTTAAACTTAAAGTTGAATCTGATTTCAATTTGCATTAAATGAAAGTTTATCGTTGTATTAAATTTGTAACTCGAGGTTAAATCAGATTTAAAACCACGGTAAACAGCTTACTGTTTGGAATATCATTGACTTTAATTTGTAGTAAATCATGTTTTACAGGTTTTCTCTACATTAAATTTGATGTTGTATGTATAATAAACTTTGTTAAATTTGAAAAATACTGGACAGTAAATCAGGTGTCGATTCATGAACTTACTGCATCCAGTTAACTATTTGTAAACTTCTATTAAACATTGCGTTTTCTTGACCTATTAACTACCAGAAAAAAAGAAAACTCGGAATTTACGACTGATTTTCAAGTAGTTTATTGATTCCTTAACATAATACTTGCATGCAGTGTTGAACACACTGATACAAAAATCTTATTCCAGGAGGGTCAAAACCACTCGGGTTAAAGAAAACATTATCTTAAACAACATGAACAACATTATCTCAAACAAACATAATCAACATGTTTGATTTATTTTAATTATAACATATCAACAGCTAAGCGACTCTCAATGGGAAACCAAATGTCCTCTTCCTTTTGACTATTCGTTCATTTATAAAATTGAGAATGGAAATATGAAATGTGTCTAAGAGACAACAGCCCGACCAAAGAACAGAAAACAAAATATTTCTTTTTCAACTAGCACTTCAGAGGAAAAATTATAAGAGGCTAACACAAACCATTATCGTCACTTTCCAATATATCGATGATGTATTTTCATTCGATAACTACACAAACATCTTTACATTGAAGTTGAATGATATTCGGCAGGAGGACTACACTTAAGGACACCATTGATTGTTTTTTTATTTTCCCTATGTAAATTTTATATATCTGGGTAACAACGTATCAGTAGCGTATGATTATGAAGTATGTATTTTACTGTTGATACGAAGTTCTGTGACTTGTCATTTTAAATCGATGTTGGACATAATCGATTGGAACAATGATAGGTTTTTTCAATCAATCAATGTTCAATATTATCCATTTCTGTATATGCATTAGTTTTTAGACATATAACTTGTAATATATTAAGGTCTGCTTAGTGTATTTTCCAAACTGTTATTTACTTGTAAAATTAAACAATGTACTGAGTTGTTTCAGAAAATACCTCAAAGTATTGGATTAACTACTATAGCAAAATATCTCAAAATTACATATTAAATAAAAAATAAGGAGACATATTAAATAAATACATAACTAGGTTAGGTTTAGAATTTTCAGAAAGTATAAAGATCGAATATGTTGTTTATTCTGATCTCGTTTCCGCTCAACAAGTAAGTTATCGAAACAAGATTTCCGAATGGTAAAGGCAAAGTCTTCCTTCAAAAGATTTACGAAGGTCATCATGATTTATCTGATCCTGGTAAAATATCTGTGCTATAGATGATGAAGACATGTTCTATTTGTTTTAATCACAATCCCGTCCTCTTTTCATATAGTTATTTGCAAATGAGTAAAATGACGAATGCGTTTAGTGGAGCAGAAAATATTTGTATATCAATGGAATTCCCAAGTTTGCTCTATCTACAGTTTTCATTACGTGTTTTTTTTTTATTTTCAATATGATGTCGTCTATTTTATTTACAAATGATTGCCTCTTACTAATGGTATCCCTGTTTTTGTAAAAAGAAGGTGATCGTCTTCGTCTCCTGTTTATTGTAAAACAAAAAGTTGTCGGTGTACTTCATGGAAACAGCAACCATATGAAAGTGTAATCAAAAGACAATTAGTGTAAGTAAATGGTGCTTAAAGCTTTGCAAATGTCTTATAAGATAGAGTGATAAACAACTGGGTATACAAATCAGGAGACGCTTACTCAATCAACCAAACCGATTTACCCCCGTTTCATGCTTAACTGATTCTCCCCGTCTTTTTCTTAGTTTGCATATTGATAATAGATTCACAGATGTATACTTACTGATGTTGCTTCTATCATTTGTTTGTTTTTATTATTTATATATATAGAAGTCATGCTTCAGAGATACCTTATTCACCTATACCAGAGCTTATGAATACGGTTCAAGTTACATTTCATATTCATACTTCTATGACACATTTCCACATTTTCTGTCAAAGGTACGTTTCTTAAATTGTCATTGCATGAGAGATCAGTCATTTTCTTGAAATAATTCTAGAAAGGTGAATCTCAGGTAATTTTTCATAAATGAGAGATCGAATGTCACTGAATATGTACTCTATGGATACACTTTGCAAGAAAACCTACAATAAGTTCAATAAATTGATTCAACCAAAATATCATAGAAGTCTTCATTTTTAAAACCATTCTCCAATCTTACTAGTTCACAGTGTTATAGCTTCGCGTGCGTACTTTGATGTTATACTAACATAACATCCTTATTGGATTTATGAGTACGAAACAAAAGATAACTCAAAATTGCATCAGCAAAATGAAGCAGAATATAATATAAAACCAAATCAGCTTTCTTAAATTACATGTAAGTGTTAACTCTATGTTTAAATTCACATCTTTGTCCTTCATTGTTTATGTGTTCTATCTTATATTGCACAATAGACTGTCTTCCGATTTATAGACACCAAATGTTTCAAATACTATATACTAATAGGAACATATACAACTCATAATGTAAGATCTAAGATAAGGATACATATTTAAACCTTGATAAAGAGTTACATATTTGATTATAAAAACGTTAAATATTTTGTTGTTCATAGATTATAACCCTACATATGTATATTGTCTGTTATAAAATAACGAATAATGATGTCAATCATCAATAATGCATATTGATGATTGATATCATTTGATGAAAATGCAATCCTTCTAACTTTTTATCACAATGGTTTTTATCAATATAAAAATCTTGAGTATATAAAATATGAAAAAGTGTTCGTGACACAAAATCAGGCGCATTGGCCGTACATGTACATACAACTTTTACTACTCCTTGATTCCTTTTTAATACCTAAGTCTTTCGTTTAGATATCACCAAGTAGAAAGTAAGCAAAAGTATCTCTTCCTATACTGAACTATTACAAATTGTTCGTGTAATAAAAGTACCTTTACATTTTGTTCATACAGCTGGGATGTGAAGAAAGAGGACATTCTGGTATATATTACTGCTATGAAATCTTTAATGAACAGCTGACTAGTTACTTGAAGATATATTTTGGTTTGATTGTTACGTGTATTGTTTGCCAGGTAACACAGACACAAATGTAAAGGGTTTACTGCTTAGAGTGGAGTGCCTTAAATAACTCTATAGAAAAAATATAATCGCAATTAATGTGAACACGTTTATTCATGTTTTAAATCCTTTAAAAACATGAAAACAATATGAAAGAAATATGAAAGTAAAGAAATACATAAAACATCATGTCATTCAAAGTTTGGAACAAGGCATATGAAATCTTATTCAGCTCTCCATTTTGTTATAGATGATGATTTTGATACAATATAAAAATGTTGCAGTTGTTAATGCATTTTTGAGATTTCTGTCACAAAGTTATTACTATTGAAAAAAAAAATCTTTACTTTCGTTTTTTTGTTTTGTTTAGCAAATAATCAATGATTTCCCGCCAACATTCAAGTTTTGGTGTATCTGTAGAAGTTATAATTTGTGTATATTTTACACTTGGCCTTATATGGTCAAAACATCAACATACATACGTTCAGCGGCATCACTATAAATTAAAATGAAGATTGCTTTATTTCTGAAATTTCCACAGTTTATGATTATTTTATTGAAAATTAATTTACATATTAAGTAATTTCAAATTTAACCTATATGTCCGTATTAGTCCTTTTTATGTATATTTTTTTATTGATAATTTATAGAAACAACTTTACAAAAAAATATTATTCGATTCTTTTTTATTATATTATTGTGCACCTTTTTGATTGTAATCAGATGTACATTTTTTATTTAAAATTATTTATTTCTCCAAGATTTTTAACAAACAATCACGAACAACTCGAAAACCGGATATTTGAATTTGCACATATTCTTTAATGCTAAGAAATAAAACTCGTATATCTTAATATTTTTCTTTTATACAAGGCTGTAATGATAATTGCTTCAGAATATACGTACAGAAAACTTGAATTCAAAGAAAAGAAAGCAAGCAATACAGACAATACATACTACTTACTGCTGACATTGAAACATGGAATTTTCAGAAACGTCTTAAATTTTGCTAAGGATAACTGGAGAAGGTAAAATAAAATTTCCAAAATATCACTAACGCATTGGCAGTGTAAATTGAAGTGTATATCTATTCGTTATAAAATCCTAAAATGACTTTTTTGTTTCACTGTGTGAACATAGAAATGCTTTTTTTCTAATCATGCTAATAGAACATAAGTTTACCATGTTTCACATCATTGCCGTTAACATCTAAAAAAAGTAAAAAACTAAAAAAAATGAACTCACAAGAAAAATTTAAAAGGAAATGTCCTTTATTAAATGGCTAAATAAAAAACTCAAAGATTTCAAACGAATGGAAAACAACTGTCATATTCCTGACTTGGTACATGCATTTACTTATGTAAGAAATGGTAAATTAAACCTGGTTTTAAAGCTAGCTAAACCTCTCATTTATATGACGATCGCATAGAATTCCATTATATTGACAACAAGGTATGAGCAAAACAAACAGCTGTAATAAGTAAAAATGTCAACAATTGGGGTACATCAGTCATTATTGTCAACATAATCTTAATCACTTTCAAAACAATAAAATACAAGAATTTATAAATGACTTTAGCACAATAACACAATAGCGGGATGTATAAATACCGAGCCACGTCAAAATAATATTATCAAAAAAGGACTAAACAGTAAGGGCAAATACAAATAAATTGTAACACGTAATCAAGATGATAAAAAACGTCAGTATCTAGAACCTATACTTCCAGACCATCATGTATTAGTGAGGTATCGGTATATTTCTAACCTTAGTTCAACAACTGTCTGCTCAGACACTGGTGGCATTTTATAAAGTCTGAGTAGCAGCTGCAAGCTCTTGATTACCGAATGAGTTGGGAAATGCAAAGTCAGTTCTATGTTTCCCTAATGTAGCAGATATTGACGGGTTTTTTAACTTTTTTTCTTCGTCATATCAAAATAGCTGCCTGTTTTATAGACCTGCCTTAAAGTACAAAAGTTTGTAATGCTCGTATTAGAATCGAAATAATTCGTTGACACTCTGTAAAAAGAAATTCACAAATATAATGCATACCCATAAGAAAATAAGCATAAGACATGACGTGTTTAAATTATTCGTGAAGCAATAATCACCCAAGGCAAACAAAGAATCAAATCTTTAATTTCAAGTTGGGTATCACTTCTTTTCCTTCTTAGAGATCGGTAAAAAAATAATTAGAAACAGTATCTATATCATCATATCACTTTTGTAAAACAATCGCATGACAAACTTAATCTTAAATGATTAAATGAAGTATTCGTCCTATAAAATAAAATCAACTATTGAATTTGAATTTAAATGATACATTTCTAGTGACAGAAAGGATATAAACACAATAACCTTAAATTGCATATAATGTGAGGATGTTCATTTTTACTCTGCAATATAATCCACATTTATGCATAGTACTTGTATATTGAAACATAAACCTTTTATAGGTCGAAGTCTGTTTTCATCTCCGTTATCCTTAAGATCAGTTCACTGGTAAGTTTAGATAACAATATATGGCAATCGTTAGTCTTTTGCGGAATTTTTTGTAAATTGTTGGGTTTTTTTACATGTGGTCTATATTACATAAAAAGAAATGTGGCATGATTGCCAATGAGACAATTAAACATCACAGTAGAAATGACAAATATATCCGCAAATGTATGTCACCGTATTGTCCCCGAAAAGGAAAAACTCATATTGTTTAGTCATTTATGAAGGGCCTCGACATCTTTATTGAGAAACAGCTTTAATACGAAAAGTGTTTTTACTATGATCTGTGATTGACCTTTTTGTATCCCCCCTCTGTTTTGTTCATATCCTTCCTTAAGTTAAACACGTGTACCTGAATGCAGTAATCAATGTGCGTATACTACTTTGTTGCGTGAAGCTTTTTCTCGTTTATTTTAACCACAAAATATGCAGCAAATCACCATGTTTGTCTAAAACGTGCATTTCGCTATTTTTATAACATCATAAGTGACCTTTAGGCATCTAAGTGTCGGGACCATATTAACCTCTTCATCTATAACAAAATAGACATGTATTTGTTATACTTGGATACGTTTCCTAATTTTGAATTTTCTATCAACTATAAACAAAAAATTGTTGGCGTACTTGATAGATTTCTTTGTATGTTTGACTTTTTTGGTCAGTTGTGCTGAATAAATGCAAAAACTAGGAAAACACTTTTTATAGAGGAGGTATGACCACAGTAGTAGCTACAATGGAACCATTCTGTTTTACTTTTCAGATAGTAGGAGGTTCCCTCCTTGGATTAGGACTTACGTTAATTGGAGATGAATTTATCCATGATAGTTCCCTCGAATATATATTTTACCAAATACAATTTTACAATTACTATTTTTATGATATACTGGTGGGGTTGTATGCTTTCTGTGTAGTTATTGGTATATTGACGATGGTAATATCAATCATTGGATTAGTTGGCTCGTGGAGAAAATCATCACTGTTGCTAATCATGGTAGGTTATAAGATAATCAATTCTGCATTACAAAATTTAACACGTTATATCTAGCCAATGATCAAGAAAGTGAGCATGTTTTGTGTATTAATGATCGTGATTGTACGTCCTTCTTCTTGTTTGTTTTCCTTTCTTAAAGCTGTTTACCGTTATTGTGACCTAAATATAGCTAGTTTGTTATATAAATAATAACTACACGGTTAAGTGTAAAAGGACGTATAAGACCATTTGATTCAAAGGAGAAAAAAAACTTTCAACGAATTAAATTGTTCAACACAATAAGTGGAATATAAAGTGTGATATACCATAGATGCAGTGATTTAATTTGACAAAAAAATATTATTAGGAACTTCAAAAATAGATATTTACTGAACATGATAACATTGTATAATCTATTGATTTTTATTGAAGTAAGCTTTTGATGGCCTGTCAAATCTACCAAGCGTCGAAACAATCAGGAATATTTGCAAAAAGTATTTTTCTTTAAACGTCAAAAACTCAACTGGCTATGATTTATTAATCTTTGGGAACATATCATCAATTTTTATAAGGCTTATTAAATGAAAATAGCTGAACGCCATTTTTATAATACAAGTACTGTGTTTTTTCGACAAAAAACAAAATAATATATAACTTTTTGTCCTCCAATATTTTGTCAGTTTTTTCATAATTATTTGAATGTCAAAATAACTGATGTAAACTGCGATTATTTTATCAGTCAGTTGTATTTTATAACATATATCATTTAGATTTATTTTTTACAGAGTTCAGTTCTTTCGACTGTCTTACACGTACTAAGGATCATTGCTATCGTTTTTCTCGTAGTGTTCATTAAAAAGGCATGTATATATATTTACGGCATTTGTTCCTTTCAAAAATACAAAACAATATCTAACAGGATTTACATTCATTGAAGTCTGTTTTGTTTGTATTTTGACAGATAACAACTTGCAAATTTAGTACTAAAGGTAAACTAACAATAGGGATAAACATGTCTCATTTGCTAAAATTGTTTTACATAAATATATGTAACTGAAATATCAAAATCTTCAAATTAAAAAGAAAAACAACAGCTGTTAATTTTTATCTTAAGTTATTTAAACTGAGTTCCACTGAATACATGTCTTTAGTTTAATAAGAGAATTCTTTATCATCTAGAGTAAAAACATAATATAAGTTCAACGAAGATGATAACAAATTTTACAATTAGATAAAATTTCGACAAATGTTAACTTCTATTGGCCAAAAAGTATGACTCATAATAATACTGGAACGTGTCTGCTTTTCAAGGGGCACAGTCATGATTTATGTTTTTGTCCTTTCATCTGATATTTTCTAATTATCACATCACCAAAAAAATGCAAACACATTGTTAAACGAAGTTTATTTTGTAAAGTCTGAGTTAAAAAGTTTTCACTCAGCATTTTCAGTATTAAAAACATTATGGTTCATTGAATATTTGTATGATTTTACATTGAATATCATAAATCTGTGCTATGCATAAGCCAATTGAAATTTAAACTATGAGTTGATATATAAACAAGAGCATTATGAAATCCAACGGTGTTGATCCTTTAATAAGGTTGAAAGCAATACCATTTTAAAACGGATTTTTTTGTCGTTTCATATATGTCAGATGTAGATCATTTCAAATTTGAAGAGCTTGAGAACCATAAAATTGTCTTGTACATGGCTTTTACGTAGACTGAATAATCATGTTTTAAACTCATTTCAATCACCAACATAAAAAAAGAGAAAGGAAAATATATACAATATTAGCAAATTCTAGATAGGTTTTGAAAATATTTTTGCCTGAGTATGTTGAGCAACCATTGAGAGCTCGGCCTTGACATATGGCTCAGACAAATGTCTGTTTTTCAGACCTGTCTTTAACCTTTGGATTATTTGATTATTTTGAACTCACGATATGCCCATTTTATTTACAGATTGATGACAATATGAAAGATCAACTTGTCTTACAGCAGCAAGGTTAATATTACAGCGGTGGCCAAAATGACATAACTCGGAGATGGAATGACATGATCTTGATAGTACGATAGTTTATATAAGGCATTAGTTTATATTGATCGGTGTTTGGTCACAACTGATATAAATTTCGACGGCAATATATTACATATTTATTTAAATGTGTTCTGATTCTCATATACCCTTCTCATTCTTAAACATGAAAATTGAGACATTTCGTGGTCAATCGTTCACTTGTATCGTCTGTTTTCATACATGCGAAACACAATAAATTTTAAACTAGTTTTTGAATTAAAAAACACCAAATACATGTATTATTATCATTATAGTTAGAGTGCTGTGGAGTTCATAGTTCTTCAGATACTTATTCGGGATTTGATCGATACGCATACTCATATTTGTTTTGCTGTAAAAATGCACATGGAAGTAGAATGAATTCGGGATCGCATTACAACTCGTATTCAAGTAATCTAGACGTTTTTGGTGGTTGTGGTGGATACAAAACTGACGTAAGTAGGCTATACTTGATATTGTTAATGAAAAATTGATACTGAACGTCAACCGAAATCAACTTAAATTACCTTAAATTACACAACAATGATAGAAATTACAAATCAAGAAAACAAACAAAACTTACGAGAATCACATGAACTCCAAGAGGGCGATACTGGTTGTTTCGACAGGGTAAACGTCTCCTATAATCATGTTACATCCACAATGAAAATCAAAACACAGACGATTGTCGGAATAACTCAACAACTATGTTGTGATGAAGGAATGTATATCTATGATTCCCGATTTTGTAGAAGAAACACCGTGGTCGATCTTTCATATGAGCATAGGGAATACAATTGCAAAGCTTTTAAGCAAATATATTTTTTTTGCAAATCGATAGGGTGTTATTGAATATTTGGTGTAGATCTTTAGAATGTTTAAGAATCCATATATGATTGACACTACTTGTTGAAGATCCTCATTAAACTTATTTTGAAGGCCATCTTTTACTGTAAAACATGCTTTTTCGTAAATGGTGTAGTGTTATATGAGAGATTCCCACTGTTATTTTAAATGAGAAAGTTTTAATGAGATATTCTAAATAATTAACTTTCGTCGAGAACATCTGACAAAATAGCCTTGGGCTTCTTGAAAGGATAAGAAACCGTCTGCTCATTACACATCAAAGAGTCTGAATGCATGATCTAGCAGATGGAGTTTTTTTAGTTTGGGTAAATCTAGCTTGCAGTTTACCCAATTTCTAGCATACTCATGAACTGCATCCCACAGTAGCCTTAATTTACTTCTTCAAGTTGAATGGCTGTTCAATTAGATAGTTTGGTCCTTTGACTAACAACTCTCCAAGTTGTTCATTGATCGCGATGCCGAGGGTCTTTTGTTTTAACATTATCTGTGTTTGACTATATTTGAAAAAAGGAAGAAAAATCTTAGTAATACAGTAATAGCATCTTAACCCTCACTACTGGTCCATTACATTTAAAATGTAGCTTATTGATTGATCTAAAAAAAGTAAAATAACAAAAAATACCGAACTCCGAGGAAACTTCTAAACGGAAAGTCCCTAAGCAAATGGCAAAATCAAAAGCTCAAACACATCAAACGAATTGATAAAAACTGTCATATTCCTAACTTGGTACAGGCAATTTCGTAAGAAGAAAATGGTGGATTAAACCTGGTTTTATAGCTAGCTAAACCTCTCATTTGTATGACAGTCGCACAATATTCCATTATATTGACAACGATGTGTGAACAAAACAAACAGACATAGTAGGTAAAAATGTCAAAAATAGGGGTACAGCAGTCAACATTGTGTTATAATCTTAATCTCTATAAAAACAAGCAAATATGTCAACAAAGATAAACAAAAAGGCATATAGACAAAGCACCGTAGCAAAAACGAAAGACAAGAATACAAAAATTACCATAGCACAATAACACAATGACGGTATGTACAAGTACCGAGCCTCTTCAAATGGATATCGCCAAAAATAGACTAAACAGTAAAAGTAATAATTTACAAAGAAAAATAAAAGAATACTATAAAACGTTATTAAGAAGATAATCAACGTCAGTACCTCGAATCTATACTTCAAGACCATCGTGTATTATTTGTGAAGTTGATACGGAATATTTATCAACAAGGTCTTGGTATCTTCCGATGAACTTTTTTAGAAAAAGGACGAGACGTTCTTTGATGGATTTTATATAAATGTTACTTAGCAATCGATCAGTCAATTGATACTAATTTTGTAGTTTTGGTACATCAGGACGTCTTTTTTCTCATAAAATGTGAAGAAAAAAGGAGTAAAAAAGATAAATAAAGGCAACAGTAGTAGACCGCTCTTCGAAATTTATAAATCAATTGAGAAAAAAACAAATCCGGGTTACAAACTAAAACTGAGGGAAACACATCAAATTTAAGAAGAGAACTACGACACAACAGAAACACAACATTAAAATGAAACACACACAGAAACGAACTATAATATAACAATGGCCATTTTCCTGATTTGGTACAGGACATTTTAAGAAAAAAATGGTGGGTTGAACCTGGTTTTGTGGCTAGCCAAACCTCCCGCTTTTATGGCAATGTTAAATATAACATCAAAATGACAACATTACATGACAGGACTACAATACAAATAAATGGGAGAACATATAGGACGGGGAAACATACAAATAATAGCTAACAAAAGGTACCAGGTTTAAAATATAATACGCAAGACGCGCGTTTCGTCCACACAAGACTAACCAATGACGCTCAGATCAAAAAAGTACAAAAGCCAAAAACAAGTACAAAGTTGAAGAGCATTAAGGACCAAACGTTCCAAAAAGTTGTGCCAAATACGGCTAAGGTTATATGTCTGGGATAAGAAAATCCTTAGTATTTAGAATAATTCATACTTTTGTAAACAGTAAATTTATAACAATGACTATATAATAGATATACATGATAACACCGATGTGGTGACTAACTACAGAATAAAAACGGATACATAATATTTTGTTTGTGTTGATTTAAAAGTACATTCTTCATTTTAATGAAAATCATGAACCGGCATTAGATAATTGTACTTTTCGTAAATAAAGACTGGTCATTTTTTGTTCAGAAAATGTAAAATTATTACCATACTTTGCTGCATTTGTTTGCACCTGTCCTAAGTCAGGAACCTGATGTTTAGTGGTTGTCGTTTGTTGATGTGGTTCATAAGTGTTTCCCGTTTTTTATATAGATTAGACCGTTGGTTTTCCTGTTTGAATGGTTTTACACTAGTCATTTTTGGGGCCCTTTATAGCTTACTGTTCGGTGTGAGCCAAGGTTCCGTGTTGAAGGCCGTACATTGACCTATAATGGTTTACTTTTACAAATTGTGACTTGGATGGAGAGTTGTCTCATTGGCACTCATACCACATCTTCTTATATCTATTTGTTTGCCTTGTTAAAGAGTGACACACTGTCTTCTTAATTTTGTTAAAGCATGTATTATAATTTGCAATAAGTCATTGTAGTCTCTAGAAGAGTCATTTTCTTTAAGATTATCAGAAAGTATTTTCTTTGTTTGTGTGTTGATATGATGTGCAATTATTCTTTTTAATGGAAGTCATGAATCGCCATTGGATTACGTACATGTTGTACCTCTGGATGGGTTGCTTTTCATTTATTGTTGTAAATGATACAGTGACGGGTCTTTTTTATACCATTGATCAGGGAGTGCATTTAAATCTTCTGTATATAGAAAATACTGAACCTTCATTGGACATACTTAGTGTTGGTTCCATTTAATTACATCTTCATTTTTACTGAAATCATGAGGAAATAGTAGAAATCATTGTTTCTTGCAATGAAGCTTGTTTTATTTATGAAAGTTGGAAAATAAAGAGTGCAGAGAACAGTATTTGAAGCATTTATCTGTTGAGTTAGTAATTTAAATATGAATTTTAGTTTATTTTTTTCTTCTATCAGATTGATTTTTTTTAGAACTTCATTTTGAAATGAGGATGTAAGCGATTGCAACTACTGATTTATAAAAAAAAATCATTTTGCATAAGGGAAGACTATCGGAATCATTTAATGATAAGCTTGTCTACTTTACATAATTCACGAAAATATTTTTTCCATTTGAATAAAAAACTTATTCGGCCAATCATCTGAAATAAATAAAACAAAATTACGCTTTTGTAATATACGAAAAGTCAACCGTTTCAATCCGACCAAACAAAATATTCTCAATATTAGTTTGGTGGATTGGTGACGTTAATTTGACTTGAACGGGATTGATCAGTGGAGCTTTATGACTGCTGGGTGATCTCTAAAACAGTTACGTCTATGGTTGCAAGTACAGGAGCGAACTATCTTTGTCACAATTAAATAAAAACGTGTATGAAAATGGACCAGTTTTTAAAGAGAGGCGAAAGATACCAGAGGGATATTCAAAGTCATAAGTTGGAAATAAACTGATAACGACATTTCTTAAAAAAAAGAAAAAGACAAACAGACAAACAATAGTACACAAAACACAACAATGAAAACTAAAGACTGTGCAACACGAACCCCACCTGCACTGGGGTGATCTCAGGTGCTCGCTCCTAGAGTAACATTAACATATGAAATATTTAAGTTTAAGTACGTATATAGAACCTATTTTGAGTTCAATTCCATTTGACCTTTTTATTAATGAAGGAATGATTACGATTGATGTGTCAAATTTTGTATCAAACGTATTTAGATTTAGAGAGATAATGCGATACAATTAATAGCTGCATTTTTTTCTTTAAAATATAACGGGTTTATGTTTATGCCTTTACATTAAATATAATTGATGAGCTATATATAAATAAATAATTTTATTTCTGAAGCAAGCTTTATGAAATGACATGTAAATATTCAAACAAAATATCCACGAGGAGAGGAGAACATGATTGCGATATCAACAAAATTAAAATATCCGTTGGTATTTCGTAATGATCAACGGATCGGGTTTGTATATTTGTCGATCAGTTGTATAGGCTCTGTAGCATTTTTGAGCTGAATTTTGCGGTCATTAAAAATCAAGCAACAAGTATCCAATAATTCTATAATAATAAATCACATTAAATTGTACTGTTTAAAAATTTAATTTATTTACACGTGTAATAACAATTGAACTAAAGACCGCATGTTTTTGAAATGATATTTTATGAATTGAAGTTATCAATATTCATTTCAGACATGCAGTGATACGATATTATTCAAAACTAGAATGTTTTTTGGTTGGTTCCTTGCAATAGTGCTGCTGCAATTATTTTTAGAGGTATTCTTATTGAATATGATAGTGTTCCAAAATACCAAATTTAATACTTCAACTAAGTTGACTTATATTAGCCATGGACAATTAATAAAATGACAAAACGGTCAATACATATTAAACTTAATAAAAGTGACAGATAGAAATAAGATATCACTCATTGGTCTCGAGAAAACAACTTCCTAATGTAATCAAGGTTCTATAATTGTTAAAAAGACGTTCGAAGGCACAATTCTTTGCAAACACAAAGATGCATGCAGACGACAATGATAAAACATCGTAAGTATGTTCCACTTGTTAATTTTTCGTATAACAGTCGACGAATTACAGATATTTTGCTTGTATTTTAACAATGCAGGAGGAAATGTTTCAATTAATCGGACAATTTAAATCCATTCAAAAGTATCATCTGAAAGCGCTATCTGAAATATGGGTTATTAAGTTGTATAACACAATTGATATATCTAAATTTGAAAATAAAGAATTGGCAAGATCGTTTTTGGTTTTTACTGTTTACTAATATGATATGCGTATAAGTTTCGCAACAAGTAGGCTATTAGGGTTAAATATTTAGCACAATTTTGAACACAGACATTTCTGTTGAAATATCAATCCACAATACTGGTACATCGATGTTTTGAATGTTTGTTTGGCTGTGAAAAAAATGCATTCAAAACTTTAGGAAGATAATAAGTCGAATCTTTGCACAAGACGGTTTTAAGTCAATCCGGATTAGGATTTTTATAACATTTTTAGTTTTAATTTTGGCTGCTTGATCCCAACTTTTGACACATTTACCTATTTCGTCTGTTGTCGTTGCTCATTTTTCAATTCTACGGAAATACAAATAACTGTCGTATAAGTGGGCGGTTTAGCTACCTATACAAACAGGTTTAAACCATCATTTTCTAAGAAAAATGCCTGACTCAAGTCAGGAATATTGCAGTTGTTTCACATGTTCCTTTCATTGATAGCTTTTGATTTTGTCAGTTTGTATGGACTTCCCCTCTTTGAATTTAACTTGAAAGTCGGTATTTTTTTTTTTATACTTTTTCAATGCAAATGGAGATTTATGTTGTCATATTTTATGTGTTTGCATGTACTACTATATACACATGATATAATCCTGACATTCCTAGAAAACATGATTGTCTAAGAGTTATACAGAAATAGTGCTATTTTTTGTAAAGTCTGTGTCGTGTTTCACCTAGTTCATAGATCATTTCAAAGGGAAATGTAGTTCACCCGATATTGGATGCATTACAGGACAGTGTTATTTGGGATATATTAATAAAAAAATTATCAATATAGTTAACGCAGAATACAGTTCTATGATCTTTGTGAAAATAACTATAGTCCCGTTTGTTCTTCATACTATTCAGTATATTTTGTTAACAGGGATAAATTAAAACCAATATTAAATCCTGATTGAATACCACCGAAATATCTGAACAGTAATAAACAAACACATTGAAATATTATGCAGAATGCAGAATAATTAGATTAGTGCTGATTTTTCTTTGTATTGCTTTCATATCGGTTTCGATAAAAATATGCTTTATGAGTTTTTAACAATAAACATTTTAGGATATTCAGAAAAACTTGAATTTTCCAGAACATAGGACTCATCTTTGTTAACAAAGAATACTCGCAGATCAGACCATCGGATGTACATGAAAATAGTAGTCCTCGTGACACCATTAAGGAATCTCACTCAATGACAATAATGTTTCGGACAGCGTTTGATGGGATTAAGTCGTTCTTCATTAGTTACTGGAAAAGGTACAGTTATATGAAAGGATTGCCGCTTAAAGTTTTCCTTAGTCAAACCAAATGCAAATGTCATTATTTACTAAATTTGACCAGTCGAATACTTTTGACGAAACAAATATTCGTATTCCCAAAATGTCAACTGATGATAGCATTAATATTGCATTTAACCCCCTCCCCCCCCCCCCCCCCCCCCCCTCCTAGTTTTTTTTTTTATATAATGCAACATATTATTGCATAATGATGTTTTGCAGATGTATTATGGCTTCTCATACAAAATCAGAGCCAATAAACAAAGACGATATACTCTCTAAATCAATATGCTGTATTAAAAATGGAAAAGATGCATTTGAATATGAAAAAAATCAAAACCAATAAATCAGAAAAGTTTAGAAAAATAAGAAAACAATGTAACAAAAAATAATAAATCGACATCTGAGCTGTGTTAGGTCATAACAAAATAAAAGAATAGATAGAGAAATAATTAAAATAATTAGATGAAATCCAACATTAGTTCACGCACCTGATACAAAAAAGGAACCTCGATAATGGGTAGCTGCAGTCATGCCTAATATGTTTTTATATTGAAGTTTTTTTGATATTTGTTTTACTAGAGGCGATATAAAGCTTACCATGTTGAAAAGGCAGTTATAAATTATAACAAAAATAAAGTTGAATGATCTTGCCTACTTTTGATATACATTTACATACTTTTGTAGGCATATTGTTTACCACTAGATGTATTTTCATTGTATCTATCGTCGGAGTTTTGTCTGAATAATATTTATCCAGTATATCCTGTTATTTATGTTCCCTTTTATCTTAACACTTTGGTGATGGCAACTTTTGTATGATATGTTGTATGCTCTTGTCATTTCACCATTACAATCACAGAAGAGACATTATGTTAAGATTCTCACTTATCCGAAAAACAATACCTGGTCATATCTAAATAGGATTTCAATAAAAATGCTTATGTTTTTATGACCCAAAGAGTAGAATAATAATTATATTCTGAACTTCACATAAATTATTTAACAGATGTCGGGTTAACGTTACAATACTTGACGTGTACGTATATACTTTATGCAATACTTTTTCGATGTGCTTCAATTGTTTGGTAATGCTTTTCGGCTTTTAAACCAAAAATTATAGATATAATACATTTTAAGGGCTGAATAATTATACATAAAAGTAAAATTAAATAAGGCAGGACCTGCGGATATTTAATATAAAACATAAACTCTACAATGTCCTTCATATTAGTTTTTACATGTTCTCTCACAACGGTTTGAAACTGTAAATTAGTTTTTTTGGAATAAATATATTAGAATTAATATCACTATGTTATCAGCATATTCAATGTAAGGCAATATCGACACAAAAAAAGTAACCTCCTCTTTAAGAGTATATCATATGTACCCTAACTATACGCAGAAATGTACATGCAGCGTTAGCTCTGTATTATTATTTGTTGTTTGACCTCGTCGCGTCAGCGTTTAGTCTTTATAGCTGCAAGTTCTACAATTATTCAACACGAATAAAGGTATGTGGCCTGATAAGCAAAAGATTAGGATTCATTGAAACTGGTTCGATAACATATTCAAGTAAGTGTACACTACACATTATGTCCGTATCGGTATTCTATGTAACGATAAAAGTGCATTTTCTTTTTCAGATCGAAATTTTCAATAGTTCAGTTCATCTTGCTTGGGATATCGGCGGTAAGTATATGTATGGACAACTTGATAAATCAAGGAAGATAACTGATACTTATGCAATAAAGGAAGACATTAAAATGAAAATCAAATACCAAGAACGTGTCAGCTTTACTATACTCAAAATAATACAAGTTGAATTTCTTATACATTTTTTTTTAAATGATCCTTAGAATTTACTTTTATCACTTGGAACTAGATTTTTTATATTACTTGAAGCCGTAAAATTAAAATTCAACACTTAGTTTTATTCATTATCATTTATCATACTATCAACTGGAAATTTGAAAAAAAAAGTATATATTTAGGAAAGTGGTTGTATTTTAACTGTCAAACAGGTTTGGTCATTCCTTTCAATACATAGTTACCAGATTAAAGAGTTATTGATTTCTTTCTATATTTTTATCGACGTATTTCGCGATAAACTATATACTACAAAGACTTTTTTGTTGGCGTCCTTGAAAAATGTACTATCACCTACAATATCATTTTTGTTGGCGTCCTTGGTAGTTTTATTCAATAGATAAACAAAGGATATGGGATACCATCCATGAAAAATACATGAACAGCAAACAACACAAAGAGCAAAGGAACAGCGCTTATATTTCTATTTTTCATCTTCAAGTCACAGTGAGGTCTTTAACACGGAGCAGACAAACTCTCACTTCACTGCAAGTTTAAGATGGCCCCCAGCACCGGTTACAGCTGAATTCATTGTCAGACGCAACACCACCAAATCTTGCCAGGTAAAAAAGAACACACTGGAACAGTGTGGAAAGTAGTACATACTTCAAATAAAATACTTCCTACAAATAAGTGTAAATATCAAACTATGCATATTACATTTTGGTAACCTAGGTATCACATGAAAGGTGAAGGACTGGTGATATTTGTAGAACACCTTTTGGCTGAAAATTTTGACAAATACAAAACTGTATGACTGAATTCTACAATTGAAGGCATTTATTGCTTATTTCTCAGATATGAAGTTCCTGGTTTGCTGTATCAAGAGTCCCGGTAATAAATACGGTCTGATGTGTAAACAACGGTGTATTGCTCCCATCCCAAATTCATGGTTAAAGTGAAAAATCCAACGTGTATATGCATGGGGCAAAACATAGCTGGTGTGTGGCGTCTTATTAAAATCTTAGTTTAAAAACCAGCCTAAAATTGAGAGAATGATGGGCACACATACGAAATGTTATCTCAAAAATGAATACACCATAACCCTAAAAATACAGATAAGCTTCCACCTCTTGAATGTTTGTTTGAATTTTGTTGTCAGTTGTGATTTTGTTTACTGAACTTCTGCTGCTGTATCCCAAATATTGTCACATTTACCTATAATGTCAGTTTTGTTTTGAATCTAACTTCAAGTTCGGTTTATTTGTTATACATTTTAGTGCAGCTGAATATCAATTTGTCTGGAGCCTGTAATTCAGTGGTTTTTGTTAGTTGCTGTTTGTCATATTTGTTTTTCGTTCAAATATATCTTCATAACTCAGGCCATACGTTTCCTCGTTTGAATTGTTTTACATTTGTTATTTTGAGGCTTTTTTTATCCTTCTTTGTGATATGGGATTCGTTCAGTGTGGGATGCTTTGTGGTGACCTGTAGTTAATAACTTTTATTTCGTTTGGTTTCTGGTGGAGTTTTGTCTCATGGGTAATCACACCACATCTTCTTATTTTTATATTAAACGGTTTTTTTCACATACGCAATCTTAAGAAGGTAAGATATGTTATGGACAGCAGAAATGTAACTTGCACTTTGTTAGAAACACAGCAATTATATTCATTAGAATACAATGCACCCATGATTCGATAATTTACATATTGAATTCTTGAAAGTTAAGAATAATAATTGAGAATTACAATCTCATGAACAATAACTATTCAAGTATTTCTTTGTCACGTAGAAAATAATATTTCAAAGCGTGTTGTGCTTAATTTTTCACCAAAATGTGGATAGATTAATCTAACAGTCGTTTTGTTGATGACAATAGCTAATAGTTGAATATGTTATGCTGAGATTTGCATTTCATTTATTGTTTGATTATTTATCTCAATAAATAGACTTATGCATAAATTGTTACAGGTATGCAATATTGGAACTCTCGGATTAGCAATACATATTCGGTATGACTCTGTGTTTGGAAATTCAGATATACAGACATTGCTTTCTAAATTTAGAATAGCAGACCACACCTTCACCAGAGCACTCAACATATTCTCTATTGTTGTTGTCACTTTTTCATCCACATCGATTGCTGTCATAATTTTTGCGGGTGTAACTATGGTTTCTCCGAAATGGAAAAGAATATTGCTGTTTATTGTAAGTGCACAAAAACACAAAATGCAGGGAAATTATTTGGGAAAAAGCAAATTTAAAGTATGAGAAACAAAGGATTCCACAAAATTCAACTACAAAAACTAATAAATCTTAACATGATTGATACAAAAAACAGATGGAGAGAATTCAAAAATTAATAAATCTTAACATGATTGATACAAAAAACAGATGGAGAGAATAATGAATCATTATGAAAGTTGCATTCATCAAAGTTTCATCTATGGTTGATTATCACAAAACTTATGCATAAATTGTTATAGGTATGCAATAGTGCAATTCTCGGATAAGCAATACATATTCGGTACGATTCTGAGTTTGAAAAATCAGATATACAGACATTGCCGTCAAAATTTAGAATAAGCTTTCAAGTCAGGGTTATCAAGGTCAATAATCTTTTTCGTTAACATGAAATATGAAAACAAAATGTATCATTTTAACATGTTTTGCTACTTGAACAAATTCACCATAAGAAAAAAATATTTTATGTCTGTGAATTTTTTTAATTACAAATAAGAGATACTGGAAGGTTTTCAGACATCACTCCATGTCTTCTGTTGATTTGTATTACTGCTGATCTGTTCATTTGCTATTTGATTTAAATGTAACACTGTATGATGTGCAGTACAAAACTAGCAACATATATTGATTTACTACTACCAAAAATATAAAAGACATGTTGATGACATTATCATAGCTCATTGTTAAAACTGAGAAAAAAATGGATTTTCGAAAGTTGGGGATGTATCAATTAGTTTGATGGTTCATAACCAAGTACTTCCTAAATAGAACATCGAAGATTACTTTATGTCAATGTTGTCTGATGCAGTTGCACATATTATGTTTTTAAACATAATTATCATTGCCCACTTCATAAAATTAAACGTCTCAAAATAAAACGACTAGCGAAAATAAAATGAAAATAAAATAATTGTTGCAGGGTGTCGGATTATGGAGCATAGTGACTGTAGCAAACATAGTACAAATTGGTTTGTGGGGGAAGTTTAAGGCATGCGTAAGTATAAAGTCACGTAGTTAGCATGATACTAATCTGTTTCTACAATATTGTTTACGTTTAGCAATTAAATATTTGCATTTACATTTTACTCACAAAAATATAAATGGCATATAGACAAAACACACAAACAAAAATGAAAGACAAGAATACAAAAAATTACCATAGCACAGTAACAAAATGACGAGATGTATAAGTACTGAGCCACGTCAAATAGATATAACAAAAAATAGACTAAACAGTAAAAGTAATATTCCAAAAGACAATTACAAGAATACATTAACACCTTATCAAGATAATAAACAACGTCAGTACCCAGAATCTAAACTCCGAGACCATCATGTATTATTTGTGAAGTGGATACGGAATATTTATCAACAAGGTATTGGTACCTTCTGATGAATTTTGTTGATAAAAAAGAACGAGACGGTCTTTGACATACCCCTGGTTCATCAACTTTCTGCCCAGACACTGGTGACGTTTAGCAAAGTCTGAGTAGCAGCTGCAAGCTCTCGAATACCGAATAAGTTGGGAAATGTTTGTTTTCAAACTCCTACATCTATCTATCGTAGACAAACCAAAAAAAAAAAAAACTTAAACGAATCATACGAACGGAGCGATATCGGGTGCGTCGACATGCATCACTCGTCTTGATATTCCACGCTTAGTCAAAGTTCCATGATAGAGAAAAGGACACAAGCGGTAAGTCTAGAGGGCAGACGATATTGTGTTTGAGTAGTTTTAATACGAAGAGTACAGTTTAGAATAAGAGAATGATAATGTAGTAGAGGATTTTAATTTAATTTTCTTTCTTTAATAATATTCGCTTGTACCATGTCCGGAGTATGGCAGTTTTAATCACACAGTCCGTTTCTATGTGTGTTGGCGTTTGTTTTTGTTGTAGTTGTACAATAGATAGTGTTTCTATTGTTCCGTTGTTTCCTCTTATAGTTGATGTGTTTCCCTCGGTTTTATTTTGTTACCCGGATTTGGTTAAGCTTAATCGAATTCTGACTAGTGAACAGCGGTATACTACTGTTGCCTTTATTTACAGGCAGACACAGAATTAGAAGACCTTATCAGTACTGAATTAATAAATAATACGTACACTTATCGATATTCACATGCATCAGGGTACCACTACAGTGAAACATCGCTATCTTGGAATACGTTATTTGTAAAAGTAAGTGATTTGTATTGTTATCCGAACGTTATTCATTTCCTGCGCAAGTAATTCGATATCTAATTAAGCTATGATAATAACAAAAGTTGCCTAACAGTATGATGTCAGTGATCACAATATATGTTTCTTACAAAATCATCACCTGGAACGTACCTAATGGAAAGTCCGAAAAGCAAACATAATTTTAGTATTAGAGATGAAGAAAAGCAATAAGCTCTGTTCTTTGTATTTTTGAGTTTTTACTGTGCATAAGCTGAGTTTGTGTCATGGATAAATACCCCATATCCTTTGGTTTTTTTTATAACAATAGTTTAACAACTAGGTGAAAAAACGTTATCAATGAGTTGTGTCATAAGCTGTCCCTGCATGTACCTTCATCAAGAACGCTCTACACCAAATATATAGATCTGATGAAGAAAATGGTGAATAATACCTGGTTTTGAAGATAGCTAAACCTCTCACTTGTATGACAGTCGCATAAAATTGAACAGCGGTATACTACTGTTACCTTTATTGATTCTTTTGTTACTTTCCTTTTTCTCGTCGTATCATGAGGCTGTAGGTAGAAGGAGTATTGTCATGTAATAAGAATTATTTTTGCGTTGTTTGTTTTGTATGTCGTGTAAGTAATATTAGGATGTAGCAAAGCAATTTCTACACTTTTTTGAAGAAATACAAAAAAAAATGAAAAAGTCAATTGTTCATGAACAATTGAAAGGTCTTTCTTTGTTTCTTTTATTGATAGCCTTCTTAGTTCAAAAATTTATGGTTGCTAAGGACTTTTATCATCATAAAAAGTGGTTGTTAAGGACAAAAATCATTCCTAAGGATAAAAATCATTCCTAATGATAAAAATATTACTTCCAGTATTAAAAATGTCATATGTACTATTCATAGTCTTTCAAGTTAAAAAAATAAGTGATTGCTAAGGACTTATATGTCGTTGCTAGGGACAAAAATGTCATTTCCAGTATTCAAAATTTCATATCTATATTATTCATAGCCTTCTAAGTTCAAAAATATATGGTTGCTAAGGTGTTTTATGTCGTTGCTAGGGACCTTGACCTCTGATATTGACCTAGTTTTATAGATCTTATAATGCTGAACATTTTTGCAATTCAAAGTTTCTTTCTATCTCTAACCTCTTTTGAGTTATAAGCAATCATTTCGGACCCGAAAAACAGTTTTGGTGCCTTAGGTCCATAATAGTTGGTCCAATAATTTTGAACCCACATGACAAATGTAGATCTTGCCAAGACACATATTTTCTCCGTTACATTTTATCAGCCATCTTTAACGGTTATTGAGTAAATCCGATAACAAACTAAGGTCAAAATCTAGGTCAAGACCTTGACCTTTGACCTTAGGTTAATTTTCATGGTCACGTGAATTGCTGATCATTGGTGAAGATCCTAGGTGGCTACAACTTACGATTTCTGAGTTTTAATTGCCAACCGACATTGGTTAATTTTCAAAGGGGCATAACCCTACCAATTAGTCGTTGAATCTATTCGATCCAAATGTAAGGAAGAACCAGGGTCTGCTCCTGAACAAATTCCTCCCTTCGTTTTTTTTCTGCCTATTATGGTTATGGAGTTAGAATGATAACAAAGTTTCCGGTGTTAAGGGAGACAACCGCTATAAAGGTAATGTTACGCGGTTGTGCCCTCACCACAAGATAGCTTTTGGTCAACCGATACTAGGTACCTAATATCATTTTAACATGTCGTGTACTTTTTTTGGGAAATGTCGTTAAAGTTTGGCGGAAAGAATAATAATAATAATAATAATAATAATAATAATAATAATAATAATATTAATAATAATTAAAATGTCAATTGTTCTTGAACAATTGAGTGGTCTTTCCTTTCATTATGTAAAATATATGTTTAAATAAGCGTATAATGCATTGAAAAGCTCTAAAACACACACAAAACCCTTAAAATATGGTCACAAACACATAATGCTGAATTTGGGACATGACCTTGACTTTTAACTTTATGACCTTTGTCAAGGTTATTGGTCCACGATGTCATAACAAAAGACCCAATGGGTCTAAGACCTTTGGTTTATGAGTTAAAGCTTATTTTGTCTTTTCTAAAACAGTTGACAGGGGTTATGCCCCTTAGGGATAGATCAAATCTCTTCGGTCAAAATGTAAAAAAGTTGCGCCTTTACGGCCCAACTATTTTTCACTATTTACTATTTCTGTAAGTATTATCGTTTTGGAGATATCCAATAGATAACTTTTAGGGTCAAAGGTCAAGGTAAACCTCAAAAAGCTTTAAAACACACTAAAATCCTTTAAATAAGGTCAATAACACATAATTCGCTATCTGGTACATGACCTTGACCTTTGACCTTTTGACCTTTGTCAAGGTCATTAGTCCCCAATGTCATTGCTGAAGACCCCATGGGTCTAGGACCTTTGGTTATATATTAAAAGCTGATTTTGTCTTTTTAGAAACCTAAAACAGGAGTTATGCCCCTTACAGAAATGTCAATTATCTTCGGTCAAAATGTTACAAAATTGCGCCGTAACGACCCAAACATTTTCCACTATCAAAAACTTCTGTAAGTATAATGGTTTCTGAGATTATCCCATAACAAGGTGTAAGGTCAAAAGTCAGGGTCAACATACAAATTTGACCTTGCGGTTTTTTTCAAAGTTACATGAATTGATGATGAATGGTGAAGATCCTAGGTGTCTACGACTTACGGTTTCTGAGTTTTGGTGGATAACCGACACCGGTTAATTTTAATAGGGGCATAACCCTACCAATGAATCGTTGAATCTTTTCGATCCAAATGTAACGAAGAACCGGGGTCTGGTCCTGAACAAATTTCATCCTTCGTTTTTTTCTACCTATTACGGTTACGGTGTTGGAACGATAACAAGGTTTCTGGGTTTCGGATGGATTACTCCGAACCGACAAAATTTTTCGACTCACAGGGTGAGTTCCGGATAGGTATTCATGACACCGATACAAAGTGTGAACATGAAAGCGACACGTCTTACGGTTAAGGCTGCTAACTTCGTCAAAGTTTGGCGGAAAAAGAATAATAATAATAATTAAAATGTTAATTGTTCTTGAACAATTGAGAGGTCTTTCCTTTTCATAATGTAAAATATATGTTTCAATAGGCGTAGAATGCATTGAAAATGTCTTTAACACACTTAAAACCCTTAAAATATGACAAAAAACACAAAATCCGCTATTTGGAACATGACCTTGACTTTGACCTTATGACCTTTGTCAAGGTCATTGGTCCAGGATGTCATTACAAAAGACCCCATGGGTCTAGGACCTTTGGTTCAAGAGTAAAAGCTAATTTTGTCTTTTCAGAAACAGTTAATTGGGGTTATGCCCCTTACAGATAGGTCAAATCTCTTTGGTCATTATGTAAAAAAGTTTGCCTCTATGACCCAAACATTTTTCATTATTGACGATTCTGTAAGTATAATCGTTTTTGAGATATCCAATAAAAAGTGGTTAGGTCAAAGGTCAAGGTCAACCTTAAAAAGCTTCAAAACACACTGAAAATACCTTAAATAAGGTCAAAAATACATAATTCGTTATCGTTATAATAGGGACATAACCCTACCAATGAGTCGTTGAATCTTTTCGATCCAAATGTAACGAAGAACCGGGGTCTGGTCCTGAAGAAATTTCACCCTTCGGTTTTTTCTACCTATTACGGTTACGGTGTTTAAATGATAACAAGGTTTTTAGGTTTCGGAGGGATTACTCCGAACCGACAAAATTTTTCGACTCACAGGGTGAGTTCCGGAAAGGTATTCAGGACACCGATACAAAGTGTGAACATGAAAACGACACGTCTTACGGTTAAGGCTTCTAATTTCGTCAAAGTTTGGCGGAAAAAGAATAATAATAATAATTAAAAACCAATTGTTCAGAGAACAATTGAAGGTCTTTCCACATCAATGTTCTAAATTATTGATGAGAAGCTACATCCAGTTTACTCAAAATTACTATTGGCGACCAAGCTTAGGTTTCTTCATACTTATTCAATTAATATATGGTTTCTATATACTTTTGCCTGAAATAAGGGAGATAATTGCCAACTTCCGGTTTAGAAAATGTCACTTCCGGTCTCATATGATAGCTTTATTTATACTGATTCCAAAAATATATGGTTTATATATACTTTTGCATGTAAAAAGGGAGATAATTAGCTACTTCCGGTTTTAGAAAATGTCACTTCCGGTCTCATATGATAGCTTTATTCACATTGATTCCAAAAATATATAGTTTGTATATACTTATGCCTGTAATAAGGAAGATAGTATGCTATTTCCGGTTTATAAAATGTTGCTTCCGGTCTCAAAAGATAGGTTAACCTATGGTCATTCAAAAAATATATGGTTTCTAGGTACTTTTCCCTGAAATAAGTGCAAAAAATACTACTTCCGGTTCACTCAAGGTCACTTCCGGTTGACATTTTTCAAGGTCATAGGTCAACCAACAGTTTGCAAAAGACCCTATAGCTTTATCATGTAACAAGTTGGAGTAATAATAAATTAACCTTAAATTGAATCATTTCAGGGACAATAACTCCTATAACATATCATTGGATTGTTTCAGACCAAATGTATCATATCTTAATCACAATTAAGCAAACATTTTGCACTAGTTCTTTAATTTGTAATTTTAAAAATGACAGAGGAGATCAAATAACAAGGAAAAGTCAAAATTTAGAATATGACCTTGACCTTTGACCTTGGCCTCAATTTCATTCAAATGCACCAAGGAACTCAAATCAATATACCTTAGGTCTCTATCACTTACCATTCATGCTATACATTTATATATCCCTTATGTCAAATACAGAAGGGGAAATAACTCTCATATGGAGTTTACGTATCGCTTCGGTCAAAATTGGACTAAACATCCTGAGGATATAACGAGCAATTTGGTAAAATAAATTTGTCGCTTTCTTTTACGGTTACGGAGGAGATGTGTGCACAAGGAAAACAGTGTTGGGGGAGATAACTCCTACAAAGAAAATTATTTGGTTACGCAGGGTATATTTCAAAGGCGCATAAACTGTTCGATATCATATACCAAATATCTAAGCGACATATTGCGAAACAAATATTTATCGCAAGAACAAAATTAGGCGGAAGAAAAAAAAAAAAAAAATAATCAGAAGAAAACCAATAGGTCTTTCCACAGAAAAGTGGAAAGACCTAATAATAATAATAATAAACAGAAGAAATACAGTTAGGTCTTTCCCTTTTGAAAAAGGAAAGACCTTAATAATAATCAGAAGAAATTCAGTAAGGTCTTTCCTTATAGTGAAAGGAAAGACCTTAATAATGTGTTTTTTTATCATGATTATAGGGTGAATGCTGCGGTGTTGGAATTAACACAACAAACTCATTCACAACATCAAATTGGTATCGTTACCACCGTGATTCGACTTCCCAGCGTATCCCAGTACAGTGTTGTAACTCTCAGACAGTCGTTTATCCATATGCCAATCAATACGATACGGACTGTACAAATAATCTATTAGATGGCTTTTACCATACTCAGGTACGTTTTTCTGCAATTCAAACTATATCGGACAACTATTGTTACATTCTATTCATATTCTACAAGACTAATGATGTATAATTTAGCATGTTTAATATGTCAGGTGATAATGTGATATGTTAAGGTAGGGAGGATGTTCGCAGTTCTATTTTGTGTGTCTGGATTGTCATTCAGGTACATGCCATTATCATTTTGTTACATGTCAAATTTAAATTTGTTACCTTTTTTATTATGGTCTACAACATTACCTAGAAAAGGTGTACACACATTTTGTTTTCTGTTGACGTCAATGTTTTATAATGAGTGTTGTCATAATATAATCTTAATATGCAAATGAATATGTGAAGTGAATGTGCCTGAACGCAATGTTTGTAGAACCGCATGGAATTGACTGAGTATGTAGAAAATTGTGATATCGTGAGGCATACATATTTTAGATTATCATATATTGATATTGTTAAATGACATGGGAGCATATTATTTGCCAGCCGAAATCAATTTTTTTTTCGTTGTAGGAGTTTTGGTTGTCCCCTTAATATCGCCTGCTTTTTTTTTAAACAAATTAAACCATTGAGTGTAAGGGTTTTTAAAAATACTCATGAATTCGACTAGATTTTCATTTAGAATTTAAAGATTTATAAAACGTTCAGCATAATATATGAGTCCTTGAAAAAAAAACAATCAGCGATGCAGAATCAGATTGCAAAACAACAAACTAAAAACGTTCTCACTTCCTCAAGTATAAGCAGGTAATCATGTGTATGTACTGGCACACTCCAATACATGAATATTTTTTAACATATCATTTTGCTACAATAGGGATGTGATACAGTTATAGTAAACAGATTGGATTTATACAGTCTTCTATTCTTTATACTTATGGGAACCAATGTTTTAACTGAGGTAAGACTTTTAATGTAGTATTGTAGAGAAAAGATTAATCATTGTTGTAAAAGAGACTTAGCAAAACGTATTGACCAGACGGACATACCGTTCAAAACAAATTGTTAGAATGTATAGTTTATTTCAATTTTTATTTTAAAATTAAAATTCTACAATCTGTTGAATTTTCATAGTTACAGGACTTATCATTTATTCCCGTGTTAATACCATAACAGACTCCTAATTTAATTCCTTCAAAACAGTTTTTTGTTGTGACCAAATAGGTATGCGGTGATATTGAATATACGGATATCATCTTTTGCTATGTGACGTTTGATTCTAATTCACATGAATAACAATACATTTTCCTATTGCGCTTTCTTTAACTGATTTGTAGACGGTTAACAACGATTATTAATCCAAAAAAATACATTTCCTTTTAATCTATACAAAACACAACGTACTTTACTTAAAAAGTTAAGACCACGAAAACATATACACGTTAGTAGTTAACACTAAAAAAGCTAAGTTGGTGTATGGACATTTTTGTATTGATAGTTCAATTAAAATGAAAGACATTTGCAAAACAGAAGCAATTTTGTAATTAAATATTGTAGGCCAATCCATCAATGCTATTCTCATTTTGAAATATATGGCAGAAAATAAATGATTATCGAGATTTGTCCGATAATTTGTGTTGATAGTCCATTATTATAGTCTTTAACATAATGATAACGATATAACTTGATGAGATTTGGGTTTGAAGATGGTTTTTAATGTTTTTATATGCAACGAACCTTGGACGATTGTGTTTACATCAAAAAGGCACTGACGGTACCTAGTTTACTGCGCCAGACGTGCATTTTGACAACAGATGTCTCTTCAGTGATGTTTGAGGACAAATTGAAAAACTTATTCAAAAATTGAAGAGATGATAAAACAAAAAAGGACTAATTGAATGTCCAAAGCCTGGCCACATGACACATAAAATTAAATCAATGTTACTATCATGAAATGAAAAATTAGATGGTTGACTTACCCAGGGAAAATTCTTAATCATCATTGAAAATTAAGAATGTTTAAGGAATGACTGTAATATTTTTTCTGTCTATGAAGAAATAACATAAAAATGTGGTGAACACTGAATTACCTATGTAGCGGGTTATTTTAAAGTGTGACCATATTGTTTATGTTACTTCGAATAGACAGAAAAATATTACAGTCATTCATTTTAATTTAATTATCAATTACATTTTCAGCCGGAGTAAACTATGAAAAAACCTTGATGACGTCACGGTCACATGACTAAATTATGTCTATGAGCTGATAGACAAAAACACTGTCAGCCAATCAGGAGACTCGTTACATCAAAAATTAAATCATAGTGATATATTGGTAGTATGCAGGAATAAAATTTATGATACTAAATATTAAGTTATAACAAAGGAAAACTATAAACCGAATATGCTACATAACCTAAGTTTAGTCTTTTTGTGAATTGCATTTGTTTTGAAAGATCTGGTTAAAAATTTTTTTAATCAGCTGATTTTCTGTGAACGTATTTTGAGGATTGCAAAGCAGAACAAAAAGCGATTATAGTTGAACTGTCCTTTATACCTTAGATCCTCCACGTTTTTTTTTAGAGTGGGGTTTCTTTTGCTCAGTAGTAAGTGCTATGTTTTGTTAACTGGTAGTTTTCAATTGCTGCCATGGCGTTGTCTGTTTGTCACGAAGTTTAAGGAATTGCCGCCTATCCCATATAATTTTATAACATTTTTAGAAGTGATGATAATAGCCAAACGACACCAGTGTTTTGTACGACCTATGATTTGAATAAACATTATCTACTAAATTCGGAAAATAACACAGTAACTATTCGACCAGCGAATAGCGACTTTGTTTGGTACAAGTATAGCTTTGCTGGAAATTTGTTCGTTACCGTCTCTATTGGTGGAATCAATGTAATCTGACCAAGATTAGGTATGTTGTTGAGTTTAACGAAGCATATTCGAAGTTGGTAGTAGTGATGTATCCGTCGCATCTTTTTTTTTCGAGTTCAATGGAAAATATGAGTAAATCTTACGATTCCTTCGATTCAAGAGCAAATATATATGACTGTTTGTATGACTGTTTTATAGTTCCAATTATGTAAGGCTGAATCTAGTTAATCAATGTTATCAAAAGAAACTTGATTCTCAAATACATGAACTTTGTAAAGCCATATTTTAGAATCATACTGTTATCTGTATTTTAGTTGATTTATTTCAAAGAATCGTATGCCCAATTATGATAGTTCTGGGCCATTTATTGGTATGCCAGTAATTCCATTAATCCGACCTTTGTCTTTTGTCAGTTCGTTTGTCTTAGAATAATTGTTTTCGTATGTATTCAAGTTGTTGTTCCATTAGGTTGAATATTAGTATACAAGTTCCTCATAATGTGAACCCTTTTTTATTATATTCTAAATAAGTGTCGTTAACAGACTTTTGTGGTTCACTTAAGAAGTTAATGTGACACTGCCAGCGATGCATAGTAGTGTTTTAAAAGTATGGAAGCATATTCAGATTTTACATTAAAACCGTGATATTTCATTTTTCATCAGTAAACAAATCAATAAAGATTAGATAATCTGTTGATTCACTCATTTATTTATTTTTTATTTGTTTCTATACGCATCAACTGTATATGGGCGTCATAATAATTCAACAGGTTTAATATTAAACGAATGTTTTAGATTAAATTTGATGTTGTTTCTTTTATTCTTCTTCCCTTAAGATTGGTATGATAGCTATAACCATACACAACGCAGTCAGTCTAACAAAGGAAGAGAATGCAGTACGTGTTCGATATAGATCGGATGAAGACAATGTTGAATTAAATGAAAAAATGGGAAAAACAACTCCGAAATCTGTACAAAGATGAGATTCTTTAAATCAGAACAATTTAGCTAATGTGGATGATATTTAAGATAGACGAGAATAACACACTGCAAACAATTAACTTATTGGTAATGACTAATACAACACACAATTGTTGACTGACTTTAAAGAAGCAGAAGTGACTGATGGCAATGCTGAAGAATAAAAGCTCAATAACTAATAACAATCTAACGGAGAAACAAAACACAGATTTAGTTGCTAACAATTTTGTTATTGTTGACGTTTGGTTGTTGTGAAGTTGTGGAAAAGTCGACATATCATTTATATGTGTATCACTTGTTATTCATTTCTGTAATGTTAATGTGAAGTGTGGTTTATGCAGTGATGGTAGGTTAATATAAATCATTAATGTATCAATAAATTGATTGTGGTACCTGTCTTATAGTAAAACCATATCTACAAATTTAAGTCAGGAGAGTTTTGTTTTGCCACAAAAATTGACTTTTTGTAGCTCTACCTATTAATGATCACAATACAAATCAGATTTATAACGCTACGGACGAATTTTCTTCGTCAGCCTGAGACGGTTGTAACTGATTGCATGTTTTCTGTGTGACCGATAAATCATAAATAAACAAATATGAATATCAGATTAGAAAAAACAAGTAATGAAAACTGTATGTGGGTTGACCGAGATAACGGACAGAATAATAAAACTTCTTCCTGGGATTGTGAATTTTTTTCATAAACAGAATTTGTGCATTGAAACAGGCCATATAAGGACACTTATAATAAATGTTCTTTTGTTTATCAAAAGTAAAGGTGAAGTAGCCGATACCGTAGAGCTACCAGGAGGCATTAGATTTAAGTTCCATTTACGAACAGGACTCAATGCGCGTTAAACATTCCGCACATTTAAAACGTTCTCTTCTTGATCATAGGTTAAATAGGAATCTTAAGAGTGACTTCTTTGGTTTCAAAACTATAGAGAATGTTCGTTCTAGAAATATTGGAGATTCGCAATAGCAATCAAATCGATAAGAGCAAATATGAAAGCTAAAACCATATTAATTCAAGTCATCCTCACCAACAAAGAAAATACTATGCGTGTTCAATAAACCGATCAGAGAAAATGTTAAATTTAATGAAATTACAAGAAAACCAAACCTGGAAATAGTACACATAAATCTGTAAGACTTTAAATGGAACGAATGTATATTGATGTGGTTGGTTCCAACCATTCTAAGATGTTTTCTCATCTGATCTTAAAAGAAAAAATCATTGTTCCATTGCTAGTTCTTTGTTTTTCCTCTTCGTGCCACTAAAATGACAGGCAAAGCTGACAGATGAATTGGCTTATTTTTCTAGATCCTTTTTGGTCATATAGTTGTTCCACCTTTTCAGTTCTTATACATCCCATTGACTATAATTTGATATTTACACTTACAATATATGATTGCGTTCAATAACGAGAGTTTGACACACGTACTATCGAACAGGAAAGCAAACTCCATAGATATCAAAATAGTCATCCAATAATGTTGCAGATAAGTACAAGTTCTATGATGTATGATGTACGTTCGTCTGATTTTAATCTTAATTTCATATTTATTTCCACTTATGAATAAGACATTAATATTATTAGTAAATCAATGTAACTTCATTAAACAGTTTCAATTAGTACATTACTCATTCATGCGATTAAATTATCTTTTATTTTCTACACATTAGAAATTTGTTGTTGTCTGATTGATTAATTTCACGGGATGCATGCGTGATACATCAATTAATTGATGCCACATATCAAATAAACCTTTCTAGTCAGTTAAAAAGAAACAGATTTGGCGTTATTCTATATTAAATGTTTGTGCTTTTAAACTCTCGTCAAAAGTAACAAAATAGTAGGTCGATATAGTATGTGTCCTGTGCATTGGGACAGATACTCATCAAATATTGTTGCATATAAGTACAAGTTTTATGATGTACGCTTATTTGATTTCAATTTTCACAGGATGCATGTATGAAACAGCACTTAATTTGTATAATCTAATTTATCTAGTTAGAAGATACAGTTCAAAGTAAAAGAAAACCGATGGAATAGCATGAACTCCAAAACGAACAATTCGTGATGGTGACTAAACAGCATTATGAAGTGTGGATATCAGTGTTTTGTCTTCATTATTTGTTGAAGTAGTTTTTCGCCCAAAAAATTTTAAACGCTCTTCTGATGAAATTAAACGAATGTATATTGATATGGTTGGCTCCAACCATTCCTGGTCGTTTTCTTATCTGACCTTAATAAAAAAAATCTACATAGCAGACAAGATCTTTCTTATCGAAATGTATGAACACGATTATTTTCTACGACAATTCTCCAAACTTCAGTTACATATTTGTGTTAGTTTTTATAGTGATTAAGATTAAACCACAATATTGACTGCTGTACACCTGTTTTTGACATTTTTACCTATAATGCCTGTTTGTTTTGTTCACACATCATTGTCAATATAATAGAATTGTATGCGACTGTCATACAAGTGAGAGGTTTAGCTAGCTCTAAAACCAGGTTTAATTCACCATTTTTTACATAAGAAAATGCCTGTACCAAGTCAGAAATATTACAGTTGTTATCCATTCGTTTGATGTGTTTGAGATTTTGATTTTGTCATTTGATTAGGGACTTTCCGTTTTGAATTTTCCTCGGAGTTCGGTATTTTTGTTATTTTACTTTTTGCTTGTACAGTGTTCCACAGCTGCGTTATTCTAATGTATGACACCATTTGTTCCATTATTGGCTTACGTGGAAATTAATTTGATTAAGATCATACAATTTGCTTTCAATTTCATAAATATTCTAATGAAAACATAAAAATGTATCGGGACATTGAACATTCGTCGTAATTACAATAAACTGGTATCTTTCAACTGATCAATTACACGCCTCACTGTTTTAGACGATATATTAGTTGAAAAATGAAATAAAAAGTAATAAGTATGAATAGATAATTAAACGATATAAATGCAATTACGCTTTCGTTGACTACATACAGTATGCAATTTCAATTTGATAAACAGGTTTCACAAACTATGACAAAAAAAATGTGTTGCAAGGTATTGGTTATCTGGACTTTATTCATTAACAATTGCAATGCAAATGCGATAGAAGATTATCAGACAGCTAGACAGTTGAAAGATACTCTTCTTCGAAACTATTCGAGAGTTCTTAGGCCGAGTAAATATCAGAGTAGTACCACGTATATAAGTGTATTTCCATTCATTGATGCGCTTTTAAACTTTGATGAAGCTTCAGGAATATTTTCTATATATGGACTTTTTAGATTACAATGGGTCGACGAGCACATACAGTGGAATATTTCTGGTCATCGGGAAATAAGTAAGTTAAGTTTTCCTGTCGATGACGTATGGACTCCAAAACTTATGATAAAAAACAGTGTAAAAAGAAGAACAATTTTTACTTTTGACAATGATTATGATGCAACAACGTCTGTAGTTGATCTCACGTATGATGGAAATGCCTTTATAGTCGTTGGGGGTATTATTGATACAGCGTGTGAGGCCGATTTGTATTATTTTCCATTTGATATTCAAGTTTGTGAAATCGATCTATATCCGGATCTTAGTAACGTATACTTCAATGAACCAAGTAATTCTGTTCAATCATCGTTGTCATGGAACGAACCAAATTCTGAATGGAACATTCAAAATGTGACATCAGTTTTAGGACCGAAGAACTCGTTTCCAAGATTTATTGTACGTATCCAGTTTGAAAGGAAACCATTATTTCTATGCATTGGTTTGGTAGTTCCAGTTACGCTTGTGGGTATGGTTAATTTTTTCGTATTCTTTTTGCCAATAGAATCGGGAGAACGTACGTCACTCGCAGCAACACTATTTCTGACACTTGTCGTTGTGATAACAGTTGTTGCGGAAACACTTCCGGCCAGTAGTCAGGTGAGTGTATTTGTACTCATTCTGTTGATAAAAGTGATATCCAGTGTTCTGACAACAATTATGACGATAGTTACTATATCGATTTATTATTGGAGTGGCGATTGTAGATCTTCATTCTTTTATAGACTGATCATAAAGTTGTTTGGACATAAAACGGTTGAAAAAGAAAGTGACGATGAACAAGAAGACAAACACACAACTTATAATAACGAATTGAAGCATGTCGTGCACAAAATTGACAGATTTTGCATTATTTTGATGACCTTGGAAATAATGGCTGAGATTGTGGCTTTATTCCTCATATTTATGTATCGATAAATATGAACAACTAGATCAGAATGTGCATATGTTTATTTATTTTCATCATATATTTAAGACTTTGTATAACTGTCTGTTTGATTTTGATTTTTTTATATCGAATAGAACATGATGACAACGTTATTGCAAAATTGAAAACCAACACAGACACAAAATACAACCAACAAAACAGATATATATTAATCTATATATTGAGCAACACGAATTTTACCTAAACCGGTGATGACATTTGATACTCCGAAAAGGTAGACAGACTTTTCTGCACATGTAACACAAGTTGTAATGCGCATGGTTAGTACAAGTTTTGTAATATGTGTCATTCGGTATTGCCAAAATCGAATATATAGGCAAGTTTGTGTTCCTAACTCGGTCAGTTAAATCTTGTTAACCATGTGTTAACCATTATATGTTTTTGTTCTTTCTTTCTGTTGTTTTATTTTGAAAATAAATCGTAGTCTGTCTTTGTGCTTTGTATACATGTATGTTTGTATACAAACATAACATTTATTTTACTGTCTTGAATTACGCACGTGCTCTGCAGACTTCATGTTTTAAGTACTAAAGTTCATCACTTTTTATTGCTGTAGATAACAGCGAAGTATTCTTTAAATCCGTATGACATTTTTTTGGTTTTTTTTTTTTTATTCCAAGGAAGACATTCCGTAGAGGTTGTCTGATGTCATATCGTTTGATAATTACATAACTAATAGTTATGGCGTTCGGATACTGTTGGGTAATATATACATACAAAATGGATATCAATTGATATATTCATTCTACTACCTTTCATGATTACTCATTGACACAATTTAATAATCTATATCTATATCAGACATGAATATTTAATTGTTATTTGATGTAAGTTCGATGTCAAACATTCTTTGCATATTCATTCCTTGATAAAAACTGCACAAACAGTAATTGGATATCAAATGGTAAACATGCGGTAAGTTGATAAGCCACTTTTGAAGGATGTCTGTCATTTTCAACTGATTATTCTGGTCAATATCGGCAACTTTGTTTACCTATCAACCTTTTGTTCGTGTTTTTTACACGCAGCCATCATTTTAGCCTACAAGAAGAAGCGTAGGATCTATATCTTCTTTTTCCATCGGATCACAAACCTACATAATTTTTCTTTATGACGTTCAGAATACAATTGTGAAATGATTTTTTTCATTCGATACGAAAAGTGGAATACACTTTTAAGTTTTTACAGCAAAATAGTACGGATATTTCATTGTGGTACTCCCATTGGTTGATCTATCACTTATACCTATTTGATTTGCAACGGCTATAAACAAAATGAACAATTAATTGTAGAATCATGTTTAATTTTCAGCAAATGTTTAGATATAAGCACTGCTGTAAGATCAGAACTGTGCCGACAATTTGCTTGTAGTGGATTAAGATTGATCAGTCTATGTTCAGACTTTTCAGTAGCTTTCAGTTTCTGTAAAGACAAAATTCAGCTTTAAATGTCATCGTATCTATCTCGTTTTGCTAGAAGCTTTGTTTTTTATTTTGCATGGTAACACATTTCAGTGCGTCACTTTTCAGAAATTCATCACAAACTCGCTTTTTATTTATTCTTACCTACTAGTAAATATATATTTTAATAGCACACAAAATATCAAGAACAAAAAATGTAAATGTTCTGCAATGTGCACAGTCACCTTTCATTTCAAATATAGTAGGTGTTAAACATTTATTTAAATTCATACGAAATATTTTATACTAGGCAAGTTTAAAATTAATCAATCAAATCAAACTACAGTTGGGTGCAGACAAAGCATTACATGTAGACGGGCGGAAAAAGTTAACGCGGCGTTTACTCGCGTGCACTTCATGTAAACGCCGCGTTAACTGTGCGTTAACTCCGAGATTTCAGTAGACATAAAAAGTAAACGGGCGTTTACTTTCGCGTTTACTTCCGCGTAAACGCGAAAATGACGCGTCTTCTAATTTTGTAAAGAGTAAACCGGCGTTTTTTTTCGCATTTACTTCCGCGTTAACGTGAAAAAAGGTGCGTACTCTATTTTCATAAAAAGTAAACGCACGTTTACTGTTTGTAGTAAACGCACGTTAACGCAGATTGTCATCGTATCCTGGATACTCTGACCTTACATACCTTCAGATAATAAGGTACATCAAAATTAAATGACTAACTGGTCATTTTCGATTGACATATTGACGATTAAAGTTAATGATATTACACCTCTTTAATTAATTGAAAATTAATATAATCATAGTATATTTCTTTTTCTGCACAAATAAACAGTTTGAGCATGTCCTTCTTTTATTCAAATAATTAAATTATCACCAAAATCCCGCAGTTTTCAAATCTCAGCCTGGCTCAAATATAACAAAATCATTTGACAGCATCAACCAAAAGTGACTATATTTGCACTTTATTATGTAAATATATATAGCCTCATAGTAAATCAGTAATATTTCTAAGTCAGGATGGATTGTATAATAAAAATGACAGCAATATTGGAACACACTGACTACAAAATCAATTTAGAGTGCCAGCATGTCCTCTTTTTATTCAAACTATTGAATCGTAAAAAAAAATCAGTAGTTTTGATACCTCAGGCTAACTCGTATAACAAAATTATTTCAGCGCATCAACCAAAACTGACCATATTTGCCCTTTATTATGTAAATCTAATACATGTTATAAGTGGCATAGTAAATCAATAATATTTTTATGTCAGGATGGATTGTATAATACAAATGACAGCAATATTGGAACACAATGACTACAAAATTTTGTCCGCATCATTTTAGAGTGCCAGCATGTCCTCTTTTTATTCAAAATATTGAATCGTAAACAAATTTCAGTATTTTTGATACCTCAAGCTATTTTTTGACAAAAATTATGTCACCGCATCAACCAAAACTAACCATATTTGCACTTTATTTTGTAAATATATATAGCCTCATAGTAAATCAGTAATATTTCTATGTCAGGATGGATTGTTTAATAAAGTTGACAGCAATCTTGGAACACAATGACTACAAAACTTTATCCGCATCAATTTTGAGTGCCAGCATTTCCTCTCTGTATCCATAATAATGAACCGTCACTAAAGTCAGTAGTTCGGGATGGTTTGTATTGAAAACAAAACTATTTAACGGCATCATCCAACACTGAGGTAACTGATTTCATGTGTACTGTATAATGAAAAGTATGAGAAGTTCTTTTCTTGGAATAGTATACTGTTAGTATATTATGTCGGTTGATTGATTTTGTATGTAGCTTAACGTCCAGGGGCAAATATTTCATCCATTTTCTAAACGAGAATATTTTTTTCGGCCGTCCCAGATATCATTTGTAATCGGTAAGGATAAGTATGTCTAAATTGACGAGATGGTACATAATTATACAACACCTTATATATCCCTACACTGTACAATTTTCGTTTGAACATTTGGCAAAAACAGAATCGTAAATCCAAGGCAAACAAGGTGAATTACGATGAAAAATCCATATATTAAATGCATAGAGTTATATTTAAGAAGAGACTGTGAAAAATGGGGAACGAAACAACGTAAACCATGATGTTTATATCCTATCATATAAAAATATTTTTCCGATGCGTTGGATAACCTTTCTATCCGCCTTCTATTTAGAAAAAAAAGAAAAAACCTTTCCTTTCATTTATGATAGCTGCATGTATATTTGTCGATCAGGAGTGTGTAATTTTTTTGCCATTATTTAATGTATATAAGAAGTCCACAGGTCTGGTCTGGGCATACCTGTCCTCAGGTCTGGTCTGGTCCGTCATAGTGGAAATATGTTTGTGAGTCGATATTTATACATGTAACTTTTGAAAAGAAAATATAGAAAAGCCGCTACTTAAAGTTATTGGAACTGATTTTTTTGCAATTAATAAAAGTTACTATTTTGAATTAAAAGTGTTTTTGAATTGTTTTGGTTTTAAACACATATACGTAAAATATTAAGATAAAAGTCGTTTTAACAAAAAGTTAAATAAAAATACAAATGTACACGAATTTTATTTCGTTTTGTTTACACTATCAGTTCACGCAAAAAGTAAACGCGCGTTTACTTTCAAGTGCACGTAAAAATACACTTGTGAAATCTGTTGTAAACGCCCGTTTACTTTTAAGTGCACGTACAAATAAACTTGAGAAATCTATAGTAAACGCCCGTTTACTACTGACTAAACGGACACAGAGTAAACGCGCGTTTACTCGGGTAGACATTAGAATTTTCCATTTTGACCGCGTTAACGTAATTAAAGTAAACGCGCGTTTACTAGTAAACGCGCGTTTACTAGTAAACGCGGAAATTGAAGTTAACTAACGAAATATATGCACGCGGCGTTAACGTGCGTTTACTTTATGTAATGCTTGGTCTGCACCCAACTGTACTAACTGGTTCGCATAAAGCAAATGAAATTTAAAACGTGCATTAGTTTCCAATGTTATCCTTCTTTTGGAAAACGATTGAAAGTTTTGCATGTTTTGGTTGTGACGTTTCTTTAGATAATCAATTTGATGTTTAACATTGAACATGGCTTAAGCGGAACAAGGTCGTTTCTATTTATCTGCAATTATGATGTTGACAGCTTGGATTTTTATCAAGGTTTTAATTCAAACAATGTTAAACGAGCAAAACCCACGTTTTTTTTTTCATATTAGAAATAATGACATCAATTTGTAGTTCATTAGACTAATTTCAAATCGAAATATTACATTTCAGCCGTGTTTCATCAAATGATGTTATACTCCTTCCAGCCATTATTTCAAACAAATGTTTCTACTTCCATGCTGATGGTAAAATCTAAAGGATATTTTTGATGTCATGTTTTGTAGTCATTGGTGTTTTTTTTTTATTATGTAACTGTGTTGATCACATTTATTCCATTGTCTTTGAGATAATGATAAGAAATTTACAGTTAAATATGTTTTATACTTTAGCTCATTTTTAGAAAAAAAGAGGAGTATGGTTTCACATAAACAAGCATAAATCATAAGTGAAAGGAAAACTGACAATACCATGAAAAACAACAAAAAAGACCAAAGATAAATAATATTCTACAAAACTCTACATAATCAAATACAAATTTAGCCACATAAACTTCATTAAACCTAGAAATTATATCAGGTGCTCAAATTTGGTATTGAAATCCCGTTCCCGCTGCTACTTTCGAAGAAAGCTATTGAAATAAGGGTAAAGATGGGGAAAAATCGTCTCCTTGAACGTTTTATGCATGCCATCAGATTTTGAATGACAATGTTATCTTATATCTGTGTCACAAATGACCATGTATACTGGTGCACTTTTTATTAATAGCTACATGTTCAAACTACTAGAACTTCGAAATATATAACACTTGTATGCAAAAACAGTCAATAATCATTTCAAATCTTTGTTGTTATTTACATGAAGTTTGTTAAAAGTAAACAAATGCAAGCACAAACACAAAACAACTATAATCTAAGCATTTAGTAAAAACATAAATAAAAACACAGATATATACTTCCTATTCAAGATCTTTAACAAATGAAGATGTTTTCCCTAGTACTGTTTTTGATTTTTGATTTTGTTTAAGTTCCTTTGATTTAATATTTTCACCAGTAGTTTCTACTTTCACATCTATTGCATTATCCCTCTTTTTTTCACGATAACTGCATAGAAAATGTTTGTTGCTATGATAGCAATCTATATAAATAAAAAAATAAAAGAAACAACAATTGATTTATACCTGGATGATATTAAGTACTAAGATGTAGAATACAGCTGGCATGTTTTACTGTGATAGTAACAGAGACGATTTATGATACAAATATTCAGACAAAGTAAAAAAAAAATGCTGATTGCTTCAGTAAGATAAATTGATCATGTATACCAGGATCAATATTGTGTACGCCAGACGTGTGCTTCATCTTCAAAAGACTTATCAGTGACTCTCGAATCAAAAAAAAGTACAAAAGCCCAAATAAAGTACGAAGTTGTAGATCATTGAGGACCCGGAAATCACACAGGTTTTGCCATACACAGTAAATGTAATTTATTCTTGTGGTAGAAAATCCCTAGTTATTTGAAAAAATTCAAAGTTTTTATGTTCAATTAACCCTAAAGTTTGTGTTGTATGAAACTTGGATACGATTGTAATCACGAAAGGTAAAATAATTAGTACAATGTATGAACAACACACTATTATTTTACCTCGACTATACCTAGGATGCTCTTCAACGTCAGAGCAGACTAATAAAATCATTGATATGATTTAACAAAAAAACAAACAGGTTATTATACATCCATAAATTTTCATTTCTATGTAGAAACATTCTTGCAGGGTCTTCATATGGTGTATAAATCTCTAACATATTCCATTGATTGCGTCTACTGTCATGCTTTCTTTGACGGGTGAGAAAAAAAAAGAAAGAAAAGAAACATTTTTTTGGTAAAATATATTGACAGATTCTTACATAGTTTAGTGTTGCAAATTGATATATGACCTTTTATATTGGCATACAGTGAATTATTTCTATAAATGTTAGTGGTAAATATTTGTTCTTAATTCTACTTGATAAGCATTTTTACAAATGAATAAAACATGTTATTCACTTCCAATATGTAATTTGCTTAAGTAACATACTGTTCATCAATTGACGTGGTATTGAGCAATAGGTGTATAAACAATTTAGTAACGATATTTTAATGTCTGTGTATCAACATTAAAATGTCAATAATGAATCAGATTCTGAAATCACAGTTTATAAAATGATTTCAATACTTTACATTATCACGAAAACCAGGAGAAATTAAACAATGAAATTAGTCGCATTCGCAACGGGCAAGATTTGTCCCCGTCTATCAAATTCATTGTTCCATGATTGAAATGAAAAGAAACATGAACAAATAAAATTTAACTATTTGTGTATAGCTATTGTTATAATGCGCAAACAATAACAACTGAATTAGGTCAAACAAATATTTTGTAGAATTTGAATGCATTGCTTGTATTTCAACCAAATGTTGGCTTATAAACATATAACACTGGACTATATATTCAAGTCAGATGTGTAAATTGTCATTACACACATTATTATAAACAATATTTTTGTCGACGAGTGCACTCTAAGTTTCCAGCAAAAAAAAAGACATGTACCTGTCTTCATAAAATTATCTCCGAACATCAAAAGATTTGATATTTCCCATGTCATGAAAAGAACCTAAGGACGTAAGTTTTCAACAAATAGGCATATTTCCATTCTTGTCATTGTTAAGCTATGAATCATTCTGGTATTAGTCAATACATAATGTTATGTTATCATAATTCACATTGCACTATTACATAATATGAAAAATATTTTTTTTTTTCATTTCAAGTGTCGACAGGCACACGAATGTTATGTCGTTGTACAGTAAAAAAAGTTCTCAACAACCGTTGAAAAAACCAATCAGCGTTAATCATTGCATTGCACATTGGACACGTTTCTTTTATGTACGACCACTTTTTTAAACATGATTCATGGAAAAAATGATTACAAGGAGTAATCTTAGCTGACGTCATATTGCGAAGGCAGATGGCACAAACATCGTTGAAAACATATAATTGTTCTTCTGTTGCAATTGGTAGGAATGAAAGTCTTTTAACTGCCGTTCGACGCCTTTGAAATTCGTTCCATCCGTTGGTTACTCGCTCATAAGTATGGTAAATAAGTATTGCTAATATGATACAACTAATCCAGCTCCATTGGACCGTGGTTATGCTCCAAGTGAGGCAGCATATTTCAAGAAGTACAAACGTTGTATGAACTATCCCGATGGCAGCACGGACGCCATACATAATTTCATCTAACTTTTCAATTGGTTCCGATTTAAAGCTATCCAATACCAACAAGAGGTAAACTGACAGAGACCCAACTGATTCAATGCACACATATATCCAAGATGAAGTAGCTACAAGAAACCATATTATGCCTAAATCAAATCCAAATTCATAAAATTTCACAACCACCCAAATAGGTAACATTACTAATAAAATGATAATTGAAACAGCTTTGCATGTCTTTAAAATTCCGGCTCCCGATGCTCCAAGTTCCAGCAAAAATGAATTAGCAATCTTGTGTACTTCTTGTAGAACAGGACTAGCAACAAGAAAAATTCCAAAACACATCATCATACCATGGATTTTTACATCACTGTGAAATGACTGGATTGCTAAGATACCCAAGACAAAGGCAGGCGTTAACAGCTCTGAGGTATTGATTTCGTAGTTTCGCCCACGTAAAAAGCATAACGTTGTTTTCGGAAAAATAAAACAGACGTGAGTGATTATTGTTATAAAGGCAATCGTGCCTATACTGGTCATACACATTATAGTGATAGTTTTCATAAAATTAGGTACAGCTTGGAAAATGTTTATGCTGCTTAAAAATAATGGGATAGAAATTGCCAACACAATTGCATAAGGAAGGAAAACGAAAACAATTCTATTTTTCATTATGCTCTCATAACCTTGTCGGATTTCAGTTATTGTATTTTTCATCAAACACTGTGCTCGTTCGTTATCCAATATACCCACAATAGAACAAATAATGAAGTTAATAACGTAATATTGTGTGTTCTGCCAGTATATCCTGTAGTATATTTGAAGTAAAATCAGATAAATGCTCAAGTTTATGCTGAATAAGTAATATGTTATAATGGTTAAAGCAACATGAAACAAAATAACGCAAACATGATTCGGAAACTCCTGTAAGGATACGCCAGTCAATGCATCCGCAAAAACAGAAACTGCCTTTAAACAAGTTCCAATAATCATTAGTCTGTTGGGAAAATACACGCACACTTCAAATATCAAGCTTATCATCTTTAGGCAAGTAGCAATGGTTAAAAACGTAACTCCAAGTTGGTAATACAACAGTATATGAGATGATGCTTCTGACATTGTGAATAATGTGCGATATTTTGCCTCCAATCTAATTAGGGTAATCCAGATGTTGTCCTCCGAAGATGGCAACATCGCTATTATGAACAGAAAGCAAACCAAACACTCGTATATTTTCCCAAGTTGTCCATTGTTCAGCAGAAGCAAAATGACTGCAATTGCTAATTCTACAAAAGTGAAATAGACTATAGATGTATTAAAATAGTTTGTATGAAGAGGTAGCACTTTACTATAACTAAGAATAGTTACTGATGAGCGAGCACTTCTTAACAGATGTTTATTAAATGTAAATGCGGATGACAGAATTGCCTTTATTTGTGTAATGTTATTTACTATCATTTAGGTATCTGAATAGTACGATGCGTAGGTGATAAATTTATCATTAACAGTAAAATATTATCTTAAGTAGTTTTTTTTCGACAGGACTCACAATCAAGCTTGTTTGTCGTCGCAATTGTATATAGTATTATATATCTTATCAAACTGAAAATACTCTATTTGATTTACACTTAACTGTCTCAATGTGTCTATCAAACGAATTTTAGAGACCAAATAAAATACTTTTCTATTTTATTATTTCATAAACTTCCAAAGGGATGAAGGGTGTAACTTACTTTGGATAATACTAGCAATAGATAGTTCGTAATTTTTCAATCTAAAACGTTCCAATTTTCGTAAATTCATAAAATATTTTAGTTTTTTAGTTATATTGCTCTTTCTAAAACATTTTACATTTCTTGACAACATATTGCAATTGTATATTTGTGTACGTGTTCATAGAATTGAAGATAAACAGATTGTTTTTAATTTTACGTACCCATGTATAGGTATGGTGTTGTTATCTTTTGAACTGCATACGTTCTAAGTAGAACATCAATCCAAAACAATAGGGGCAATCGTTGTAACGTTCCAACAATGGTACTTCCGTGATCTTTCATTATACCTAGATTTATAAAATAAATTGATTGAAATAAAGGTAAGAAGATGTTGTGTGATTGGCAAAAGAACATCAAATCATTAAAGACATAAAGACAGAGAGTGAAAAACACAGGTCCACGTACGGCTTTCAACAATAACGCAGGTGTGTTAATGATGTTCTAGAGTAAATCGGCTATTTATTCATAAAAAAAAATCATTGAAATTTGAAATTATTTTGAATTTTAGTCTAGAAACTTTCATACCCAAAACTAATTTTGATCATCCCTTATATCATCCAAACTTTTAATTTCTGATGTCTCAGCACCCCCTACCTCGTTACCATGGTAACGGGCGACGTTCAAAGATGGCGTGTGAACCTTCAACTTCAAGAGCCCGGCACACCCCAAAGAACTACACTAATGAATGAAAATAAAGTTGTATTTGGTTGACAAAGATGTTATCTTTTCTGTAACAGCTGTTTCGTTCTTTAAATATGCCCTTTTCTAATAAAAAATAACACAAGTGACATACAATCCAACCATACCCACACCAAAAGTCAACTTTCTTGTCAATCTAGAAAATGTTGTATTCATTTTAAAAGCAAGAAACAGCAATCTTGGTATTCATAAGCTTTCCTAAAATAAATATGCCAAGTTTTAAAGAGATCAATAAATATTAACGGGGTGTGCCAATGCGATCTTTATAAATGAATGAGACTCAAGTCCTTTCGCGCCGACATTTAAACACTGTAATGATTCAGATCGATTATTCCCCTTTATGGTATGAAAGTGCCGGGAAAGAAATAAACGACAGTTTTATAGTTTTTGACTAGAAATGGGCACATTAAAGATGTAAAACAATGTTAGTTTTTCATTTTTATACTTGAAGGTGTTCATGAATCTTGAAAGAATCACGGTGCATACGAATGTCATGAGGAAAAAAAGGGGGGATACTCTAACGTTATACTTTGAAATAGCTTTCGTAACCCCATGTTCATTTCTAACTCCACATATGTGCCGATTGTAAATAAAATTAACTTGGTTATTTTCTTAACTTCGCTTCTCATAGGGGTTTTACGACTTTAAGAAAGGACCAAGGATTGGTAAAGTAAGATAATGAGATGACGAACGACAAAACAGTCTTTCTAAAACAAAATGATTCTCGTGATAAGAAAAAAAAAACACTTTTAACCAGAACTAGTGCATGGAAGTATGAAGCCCCTTCTATCAAACTCATGTTTCATGAAAAATATTAATCTACTCAGACCTGATAAAGTTTTTTTTTCAATGTTTTTTTTTTTTAAACAATTTTAAATAGTTCAATGAACATTTATAGTATGGGAAACCGTCACATGAAATGTGATAATGGATCAATATCGGCTTTAAGCTAGAATTTTTAGAGCTATGTTCATTTATTGAACATGCATCATTCATTCATAATGCAGTCTCTTGCATAGTAAATTAATAAATTTAAAAACAGGTCCATGCATTGGTCTAGAATTAAAACCAGAAAAAAATATAATACTACGCAGGTCATGTACATGATGTAGATAAATACAGTATGAGCTTATTTTCTATCATTATAGAAAAAACATAAAATAAGAGATGAAGCTATTTGTTTATTCAAAAGTTATATGCATGTGAAAGCCATTACTTCTTCAAGAGTTCATTATGAGACCAGAGTATTATTTGACTATTAAATACATAATGTCTATATCAAAAGTTTCATAAATACTTATGATAATTTCTCATTCATTTCAAATAGTTTTCTCAAACTTAATACCGAAAGCATTGTATATATGTTAAATTAGACTGAACGTCCTTATCATAATGTATACAATACTTTCTTGTGCCATGTGGTTTTCCATGATCCATAATAAATGTAGACATAAATCATCCTGCTGATTTTCATATGTAAATGTTGTACTAGAAAATTTTTATTGAAATTCTAAACTTGTCTTTTATTTCACATGTATCATGCAAGGAATATTCCTATATATATACATGTAAAATATTGTGAATTACAATATATATACCAGTAAGTACATGCAGTTACCAGCCTGCCAAATATGATGTTTGAATTATAATTCTCACTCATTTCACAGTTTTATGTATATATTCAAAACTATCTCAATAACTGCCATATGATGTTGAATAATGATATGAACATTTCCTTTTATGTGTTGATCTTACAAGAAAGACGTGCGCAGTCATTTCCTCTGGTGTAATACTTTTATTTCTTTGTCTTCAATGTTTCAGAGTCAGTTTTAACAGTCATGTACTTCTTCCTTTTGTTGTCACACTGAAAAATTGCTTCATTCCAAAAGTCACATGTGACATGGCATGGGGTTATTTCATATTCAGCACTTGTTATAGTTTTGTTATATGTCCTCTAGCTTTTATCTTTAAAACATTCAATTCACTTTCTTTAAAGCATAGATCTAAAACTATCCCCATATATGATTATGAATTGTCTGACAATTTCCTTGTGTGTGTTGATCTTCAACAGAAACTAGTGGTTACTATTTTTCTCTGATAACTTTTTCCAATTTCAGTTAGTAAATACTTGTATAACACCATTGCCTCCAAGTCATCTGAATACATATACTGAAAAAAATTATATAAACATTTAGTGGCATTTTAAAATTATTGGTATTGAATGTTATGATACAAAAAGAAAACTTCAGTCAAAATGTTGTGTTCCTAAATTATTATTGAATTAAAAGTAAACTTGATAAAAAGTTCAACATTGATTTAAAATGAACTTTTGATTTATGAATTTTCTGTAAAAGTACAATAAAGTTTTTAAGTACAACTTACCTCAACTGATATTTACCCCTCAATTTGTTATAATTAATTAATATGACTTTATCAATATTGAGTGGGTGTGACTCAATACAACAGACAACTTATATATACACATAACCTGAGGGGCTGGATGGTGTTTACAGAATAGATAATAATCCTTATGGGGAAAAGTGCAGAATAAATGGCTTAAAAATTGAAGAATAAAAAATGACCAGTAATAAAAGAGAATAATAGGGTGTTTAAATACAAAGAATAGAGAATAATGGGCAATATAGATAAAGAATTGAGGAACTTGTATAACAGAAGAATAAAGAACTGAAGGACCCCCAGCAAGACTCATACATTATAATATTAATACTTACATATTTGATATTATAGAAACTACACTCTTCAGGCATTGACATGGCAATGTAATGTGTACATGGTGTAAATAAATCTGCAAAAGAAGTAACAATAATTACTGAAAGGTTTCAAATTAAATTTTATACACACCAGATTGTAAATAAACATAATTAAGATTGATGTGAATTGTTTTGAAACATGATTGTCAAAATTTGAAAATATCTACACAAAGAAACATAGACTTCAGATTTACTTTTTTATTGTGAATCAATATTACAAATAAACATTTTATTTATGATCTTATGACTATAAACATAAGAAAAATGAACAAATTATTAAAATTTAAATGTACACTAAAAGGGATGATTTAAAATAATAGTATGATGACTATCAGATTTAAAACCATAAATGAAAAGTTGTTTATCAATTATGGCCATGATAATAAATAATAGTTCTCACATATCATAACATCTCATGTGCCTGCCTAAACAATTTTATTAAATGCAGGCAAGCCATAGGCATTAGTATTAATGCATGCACAGTGACATGTATGCATATATTTTTTATAATTTTTTGGGGGGTTTTGTTATATATTATAAATTGGAAGATGTTCAAATATACCTAATAGATCTTTAAAAAAATGTTTAGGTGTTTGCCTCCAACATAAAATTCGAATCATATGACATGCATACGTCGAGACAAATTAAAGGGAGAGGGGAGAATTAGGAGGAAAGCTGGCGGGCATGGTGTTCGGACTTTTTAACAAATGCCACTCCTTACGTTGCTTTGTTGCTGACCATTAAGAGCCCATATTTGAAAATATTAGACCCGCATCTGTGCATGGCAGGTCAGTCTGCAAAATGTCCGACATAATGATAATTTAGTCGATGGTCAATGAAGATATGATTGTTTATAAGATAGTAAAATAGTGTTAACTTGCATAAATCATTCACAGGAAGTTTGTCCTATACTGTATACAGATTGCCCTCGTCATGTTGACAGCGAAACGTGTAACGAATAACCCCAGTTTTAAGTAAACAATGCGTATTTCTCAATCGTGGATGTAATGAATATCGATGATCCTCGGCAGTAGAAGGCTAAAATAATTTAAAACAAACTTACCTCAAAATATAAGCAGCACACTTCTATTTTAACGTGTTTTTGTTGGACTGAGGACACTGACGTCTATCATAACAAGGTGCCCGATCAGCTGTTCGTGACAAGCTTAAAATTGACGTCGACGAAACGTTCTAGCCAATCACGTGTCGAATAGTTTAGAAAATGACGTCAGATTTAGATTGCGATGCAAACACCAAAAATCATTGCCTAATTTTTTTAAACTGCATTAACCTGCCTGCGGAGCAAATCCGATACCGTATAGTAAACTACGTGTTTATTACCGTGATACCAGAACCAACGAAGAAGATCGAAAAAAAACAAAATCAATCATGTCAGATAGTAACCAAAGACAACCCCGTAACAATAGAATCCTAGCTTGGCACTGGCACATATAGAACATTGTGTTGAGCGTTTAACTCTCTCCATTAACTGGAACAGTCACTACAAAAGTCAAAAAGTCTGAAAAGACCAGTTTTTGTCTGAATTTGCATGAATTTTTACTCGACATTCTTAATTTGTCTGAATAATTTTTAAAAATTCTTGACATAGTATGAATTTGTCTAATAAGGTTCTTGATTTTTCTTGACAAGTGTCTTGACAGTATGAACATTGTCTTAAAATTTCTCGACACTTCCTGTATCATCTGATAAGAGTCTGGATTAGTCTCGACCAATTCTTGACTGTCTTAAATTTGTCTCGATCTGTCTTGACATATTCTTGAAATTCCTAATAATGTCTGAATATGTCTCGACATATTCTTGACATTCTAAATAATGTCTGAATATGTCTCGACTCTTGACAGTCTTAAATATGTCTTGACACTATCTCAACAGTATAAATTTCGCCTGAAATGTGAACAGACTTATTATGCACTGTTTATGACATTCTATTGCTGTTATATACTCCTTTTTATTATGGCTAAACTAAACTTTGAAGAATCAAGGATTAATTTGGTATAGTAAGATACCCTTTTAGTGCAACTAAGTTGGAATACCCTGAATAATCCCCCATGTAGTTTAATTTTGATTTATTTTTATTAAACATTTAAGTAATTGTTTTCACTTGGAATATAAGTCGAAGGTATTGACAAACAGCATTTAGATTTTTGCCGTTCGCAAAACTGCCAGTCAAATTTGATTTACTAAAATAGGTGTCTTGTATCTCTTTTGGACCCCACAATTCATCTTTTGGGTTTGTGTGGCTAAAAAAAGAGGGGGGATGGGGGGTGGCTTTCGTTTAGGTCAAAGAATTTGTTTTCATCTTGATTCAAAAACCTTATTCATTTTTTAGAACAACCCAAAAACATTTTTTATTCAAATTTGAGTGTTGAATTTTATAATTTTTTATCAAATATAAATATTTGTGATAACTCCTTCCTGAAAAGAAAACAATGTTTAGATCTATATTATGCATGTCTGTTTGAGAACCAATTCATAAGACCGATGATTTCTATAGAAATCATTGATTGGACCCATTATAAATACATTTTTTTTATTATTCCTGGAGTAGATAATAATTTTCTTTTAATCTTTGGGAATTATTCAATTTGTTTTTATGTTAAAATAATTAACTTCATAATTTTGATGAAGAAAATCCATTTCAATTCAATTTTTTTTTCATCAAAATGATGATTTTCATTTTCATCTATCAACAAACTTTTTAAATTGTAGTGGCACGGTCGGTCAACTGATAAGTTGTATGGCTGATTACAGGTAAAGCAATAACTTCTATTTGACAGTTGCGTGTACTCTGGGGTGTGGAATACCTTAATTTTATGAGGAACATCCTGTCCATGTGTAATACTTAATATATTCCAACAGATGACATTACACAAATTTTTCTTCTGTTAAATAAATGATTTGTATCATCATAATTTGCTATTTATATAAACCACATTTTGGTATAATAATTATTTACCATATCAACATTGAATATTATGAATGTAGAATGAAATATCTCTACAGTATGATTGGTTTGAATCATTTAATTTATAAGTTTTAGGAATCAACATTTGTAATTATTTAAAAACCCACATTGAAATTGTTTTATATCAACACACCCACATTTGAATTATTTTATACTTTAGATTTCATAGCCATATTTGCATTTGTAAAAATATTTATATACCCAAATTTTCAATTATTTGACATGCCCAACTTTTATTTTTGTTGTTAAGAAGTGTAACTTGAAACAACAGTATATCATATAAAGAGAAATAAAGATTAAAGTTATATCATGCATATTGGTCATGATTTGTAAAACTCAGAACTGTCAAGTAAATTTAAGACACGATTCAAAATGTTCAGAATATGTCAAGCCATACTGAGAAAAAATAAGAATGTCGAGAATATGTCGAAAAATTTCAAGACAGTATTCAAATGTCAAGAATTTGTCAAGAAATTTTAAGACCATATTCAGAATGTCGAGAATATGTCGAGTAAATTTCATACAAATTTAATATAAATGAGAATTTGTCAAGAAAAATTAAGACACAAGTCATACTTTTGGAGAATGTCGAGTAAAAGTTCATGCAAATTAAGACAAGAACTGGTCTTTTCAGACTTTTAGACTTTTGTAGTGAGTACAACAACAGAACAAATTATAAAAATCAGTTGCAATGCATAGTTAAGCAATTCCAAATAACAAAATGACAAATTGCATATAGTACCGATATTCTCGGAGAACTGGAAGTAACTGACAACTAGTTCAAAGTCCAATTTGAACTAAAAGTTGTCCATATACTCTCAGACTGACAGGTATACATTTAACAATAATCCAATAATGAAAACATCTTTTGAACAATATGTGCAATCTTACCTATCATTTGAGCGACCTTTGCTACTCTACAATAACCAAAAATAAATGTGGCAATTTTCAACATTTTTACTTTCGGTTTAAGCATGGAAATGGAAATTTCTATACTTCGCCATTGTTTATTTTAAAAAAAACCGTCTCCAACAGTTTAAACTTAGGGTTTACGCAATGGTCTATACATCTATGTTAAGTAAAGGGTATTTACTGTAAATACAATCTAACAATAGAATTCGTATTTTAAATGTACTAAAACTACGTCTGATGAATATAACTTATTTACCGTAAAGTTTTAAACAATATAACAAAGTTGAAGGGTTATATTTGTTTAAACTTTTCATTGTGACGTGAATTTGTTACTTGAATATATAGAGTCAACGACACTTAAACACATTAATGATATAGAGTTGTCGAGGTTTTAACACATTAACTATATAAAGGGTACGGGATTTTAACACCGTAACAACATCAAACCTTCGTTTCATATTGGCAGGATGTATTAAGTTATCAACAAAAGAATATGACGTTCCGAAATCTTTTTTATATGTTAACATTTGCAGAATCAAGAATAAAACGTTGAAAGATAGGTGTAAAATTTGGAATATTCATGTTTTTCCTTCATCTTATATCTATGTAGAAATTTCAAAATGTAAATTGTGTTTCACAAAAAATAACGCTATTCATACATTTTCTCATTTACCCCTATGATTTTAATTCTGAAAATAACTTTTTTATGGGTAACAGTCTGAAAAGAAATGTTCGGTGAACCTCATATTTTATTTATTTATCATTGTTAACAGCATTTTATATACGGAAACGTATAAATTAAGGTGGTATATAACACCACAGAAGATAACTCTGTAAAAATAAGCTGAACGTTTTAATTACGTTCTACTGTAATGAAAATATCAAGCTCCATTACAGTAGAACGTAATTTAAACGTTCAGCTTATTTTTACAATGATAAAAAAAATACGGTTTGTCAAAATTCTATTTATCCAATGAAATTTTTCCAATGAAGTGTGTGGTTCAAGTTTATTGAAATTTTAAATTGTTTGTCAAAGTTATTATTTTAGTATAATTTTTATGAAACTAAACGAGCCAAATTACAATTTGTATTATAGTCTAAACGTTTGGTACCTCTTGAAAGAAAACAGAAGCAAACAAGATATTTATACTGACGGACTATGAAAACTCAATTCTATATCATTCCTGTTTTATTATCAGGTGTAATACTTCTTAAATAAATATATTGATATAATTAAACTCAAAACATTTTCTGAATAACGAGTGTAGTTCGAAAGTTGAATCAAAAACGTCTAGCTTTATGTTCAAATAATGTGAGATGCACTCAAACTCTGGATGTCAGCCGATCAACAGATGCGTCACCGGTGACGGTAGCGACTGCTTGTTTTCAACACCTAAATGATTGACAGAAAACACAACCAGTTCGTTTGTTCATGGTTTGAGTTCTGTTTTGTTCCTTCAGACTTGGCCTCTGAAGTTGACCAATACAGCTTTTTTGCAATTATTCGGTTAAAATAAGGTTCTTACTTTGTTTAACTGTAGTCAATTATATGGCATTTACTGTGTAATGTGTAATGTTTTATCTGTATGCCATGGCATCCCAAATATTGGTAATCAGTTGACGTTAATGTCGTGACACTGTCGCGCTAATGGAGTTGTTCAATGACTTTACCGAATTAAAATTATCACCGGGTTTGTACTTACATGAGTAGCCCGACGGGTGCCACATTTGGAACAGAATTTGCTTTCCCTTACGCAACACCTGAAATCAACCCTAGTTTTTTGTGGCTTTAATTTTTCTGTTTTTTTTATTGTTCTTTTTTTGTATTTTTACTTTTTCAGCCATGGGTTTGTGAGTTTATTTTCGACTAATGAGTTTGAATGTCCTTTTGATATCCTTCGCCTTTTCCTCGAGTGGTGTTGTCACTTCTGGTTGATGTTTTCATGGATGGTTAACAAATTATGTCCCTCTATCTGTACCGTTGTAATAAGGAATGTAAGATAATATGTTGCTGTGAGTTTGTCTGGTAACATCACATTGACGTATTAATGTTTACAAAATTGCATGACCTGATTTAGATTTGCATTACTTATTTTGTAGGGAGAAATCCGTCTTTTAAAAAAAAAGTTCGTTAAACAAAAACTAATTTGCGCAGCCAATACTTTTTCGCCATCGGTTTATATTTTAAGAGGACATCAGACGATCCAGATTATAGATTCAAATACGGTGATACACATATGGTATCTACTGTTTAATTAATGAGTACTATTGCAAGTGAGACAACTATCCATCAGAGATCAAATGACATGTATGCAATCCATTATAGGTACACACTGTAACATTTGACTGTCACGAAAGGCACAACAAGCAACTTTATATAACAAAATCATAAATGACATATAGTACCGATCTACTCAGAATACTCGAAATTCCAATTTGAACTAAAAAGTGACTATGTAATCTAAGACATTAAAGAATGATCTCATTATTAAAACATGTTCTGAACAGTATGTGCAATCTTACCTATCATTTTGAGCGACCTTTTCTCGACAAAAGCTATTAACAAGTTTGTCACTTTTTCAACATTTGTAGTTTCGGTTTAGGTATGAAAATGGAAATTTCCATACTGTGCTGTTGCTTATTTTCAAAAAACGTTGTTTAAAATGTTAAATATAGGCTAGCGTAATGGTTTATATATGCATGTATAGAAAACTTTAAGTTTTCTATACATGAATATATAAAGCATTACGCTAGCCTATGTTTAAAATGTTAAATATAGGCTAGCGTAATGGTTTATATATTCATGTATAGAAAACTTAAAGAATAGAATAAGATATTAAAATAAGTTTAATTTAAATGTCTTCATACGACGCATGATAGATAGAAGTAATTCGTATGTAGTTTACCGTAAAGATTGAAACGAGATAAAATGTAAAGGGATATATTTGTTTGAGTGTTTATGTGTTGTGGATTCGATAAAAGATTTTAATACATTAATGCATTGAGTGTTGGAGATTTTAATACCACCAGGATTCCTTACCTATCAGACAGATGTATTACGTTATCACTTAAACAATACATTGTACGATGTTCCCAAATAAGCAATGTCCGCAGAATTCATTGATTCAAAACTATTATACTCAAAATCTCTATGGCCAGTGACATGCGTAGTCCCCGAGTAGCATTTATATTTGATAGCTGACGTGTTCTGTGTTATCTATGTTTCATATTGCCTGGAATTATATTCAAAATGTATTTAGTCTCAAATGTTTTCGGGCATTGCAATTTGAAAATTAACTATAACGATGTTGTAGAGTTTGGTTAGATAATGTTTAGTAATATTAAGAATTATTTAACACGATATAGGGCCAAGTTAAGAACTGATCGAAATAATGAATACATTGATCAAATTTCGTTTTTGATAAACTTCATTTGAAAAGGTTCAAATTATTAGTTTTCTAATTTTTGATGGGCACCAGAAAAACATCATCAAATATAACAACCAGAGCAGAACTAGGAAGAACCTCCCTGGAACAATTTTTTTTGCAGAGTCTCTATCATACCTAACAAGACTGAATTCTGAAAATATAAATCCTTTACTTAAAAAAGCATTTATATTCTCAAAATTGCTGAACTCTCATGCTACTTATTCATGGGATACATATGCAAAAAATGTATCATCTATCCCAGAAATTTTAGATAAAGTTAATAATTGTAGGTACATGAATGAAATAAAGTCTTTAAAGTCCTTTACTTAAGATACAAAAAAAAATGTTTGGAAATAGAATAAATGGTAATGATGAAAACAGTTAATGTTACTTGATAAAAAAATTTAAAAACTAACTTGGACACCAAATTTGATTAGCTTCCAATGACTTTTTTTATAAGAAAATGTTTCACTAAGTTGACAATTAGCTACCATAACGAATAGCGATAGAAAACGGTCGCTTTCATAAAATTCATAGAATATGTAAACTGTTCCACTTCTTGGACGCTTCCTCCTTGAATACACATGTACATGAACAAAAAACCTAAGAGATAATGTATTTGAAAGGTGCTTACAATTCTCATAATCGTATGTCTCTTACCTCAAAACTAAAAGTAAAAGAAATGATTCACCCCTACATTATTGAACTAAAAATGATTTAAAATATTGGCTCCTTCTTCTTTTTCCCAATACTGCCCACATTCAACATGACAAATATTCTAGCAAGTTGCGCTTGATTAAAAACAGGTTAAAAACAGGATAAAAACAAATTGTTCTGTTGATTTAGTTTGTTGTTTAGGTCACTTGAGACTTGATTATCTCAAGAGACTTTCCTGTGGCGGTATCTGGTGGTAGTTTGTTCCAATCCTTGGCGGTGTTTATGAAGATTGACCATTTCCTACAGTCTTTGGTGGCTGGCTGTAATAGGTAAGTATGTTGTCCTGTCCGGTTTGAGCTTCTAGTTTGTTTATGTTGATAATTATTTGTGTCTATGGCTACAAGGTCGTTTGTTATTTTGTAGCACATGATGCATCGAGCTTTTTTTCGTCTTGTTTGTAAGCTTTTCGATCTTAACTCAGTTATCATGTTGCTGACTCTTGATCTATTTCTATGTCAGCTGGTTACATATCGTGCAGCTCGTCTTTGTACCTTTTCAATTTTATCTATGTGGTGTTGCTGGTACGGGTTCCATACTGTCGTGGCGTTTTCCATTTGCGGTCTTACTAATATTTTATAGGCATGCTCTTTCTTATAATGAAATTTGCGACTGTCATGCAAGTGAGAGATTAAGCCAGCTTTAAAACCGTGTTTAATCTGCCGTTTTCTAAATAAGAAAATGCCTGGACCAAGTCAGGAATATGGCAGTTGTTTTCCATTCGTTTGATGTGTTTGAGCTTTTAATTTTGCTATTTAATTAAGGACTTATCATTTAGAATTTTCCTCAGAGTTCAGTATTTTTATGATTTTACTTTTTGATGGATTTTGAGCAAATGTGGAGGTTTCGATGTAGGAAAAATAGGCTTCGGCTGGCTTTTCCTGTGGTGTTGTTAATATGTTCTCCCCAATTTAGATCATTTGCAATCGTGCAGCCTAGGTATTTAGTTGATGCTTCATGCACCAGAATATAGCCGTGGAGTTTGTAATCCTACTTGATTGGCTTTTTTCATTGTTGTGACTGTGAGGACACTGCATTTTTCAGGATGGAACTCTATTTTCTAGAGTTCTTCCCATTTTGCCAATTTGTCCAGGTCTTCTATGAGTTTATGACAGTCGCTGTCTGATGAGAACATTAGAACTAAGGACAACATTCTTTTATTTTATTTTCCATGTAATAATTTCTTCAAGAATGGTTTTGTCTTTGCAATATTATGTGTGATGTCTGCTTTTGTTTTTGTCACACAATAAGTATGCCTAAATGCAAATAGATTTTATTATTAATTTCGAAGCTTATATAGTTTTCTTTCCGATCCGAAAAACATTGTATTTCTGCAAATCTACTTTCAAAGTAAATCCACAGTTAACGAAAATTTCATTTTATTTCACAGTTTTACAAATTGCTCATTTTGAAGGCAGAAATACGCTTGCACAAAAAAAAAACATCCATTGAAACTTGAACTTACTTCTACAAATAAAACGTTTCTACAATGTGTAAACTAAAATGTATCTTTTTGTACCAAAAAATAGAGAGAAATAAACCATTCCGCCAATTCTTATTCATTCTAAGTACAGAAAAATAAACAGTTCCGCTAATTCTTATTCATTCTAAGTAGTAAGATATATTATTCAAAAACATGCCTTTCAGACTTACACTAATAAGTCTAAGGACATGATAAGACTTAAATTATAGACCAAACTGTGTTGTTCTAAAAAAACATATAGAATCAACGGCTTATCAAACTTAATGGTTTGGCAAAAAAGAAGGCGAAAGATACCAAAGGGACGTCCAAACTCACCAGTTTATAATACAATGACAACATCAAGGCTAAAAAAGAATCAAACAAACAGACAAACAATACTACACAAAACATAAGAAGAAAACAAAAGGATAAGCAACACGAATCCCACCAAAACCTGTTGACAATTGACAATGAGACAAATACCCATCAGATATCAAATGACTAGGTTTATATCAGCCACATACTACACCATGTAACAGTCATGTATTTAAATTTACAATATAATTAAATAGCTTTTTTCATTTTTTGAGGGCCATACGGTGACCTATAGCTGATAATTTCTGTGTCATTTGATCTCATTCACAATCATACTACATCTTCTTTTTTATACCAACAGTTCAAAATAAAGAAGAAAAAAAACAGTATTTGTTTAGATCTTCATTCTGCTGTGGAAATGTCTGCTTCTTTTTACTGTTCCGTATGATACAGATTTAATAGAACGAATTATGCACTGATTCATGATATAAAGTCGATTGTCTGTTGTTAATCAACGCAATTTGATTGTCCGTGTGTTTGTGTTGCTAAATGAATAGTATCAACGATCTCCGGTGTATGTCAGGATACTACATATATTGCCTACTTGAAACGACTGTTTGTTATGTTCCTACATTTCATTATCCTCTCTCAGATAGATTTCAGAGTGGATAGTGTGACGGTTCTGTTCATCCGTCGGTAACACAATTGTTGATACATGTAATATGCAGGTTAAAATTTGTTCACCCAAATCTCATCAAACTTATGCACATATCCGATTTAACGAGACCAAATTAAGTTCTAATGTCAAAGAAGGAGATTGCATTACTATTTTTTATCTGAGTGGGACAATTTTGTTTCCTGGAATCATTTTTATTGTTGCGTTTTTTCTTTCTTGAACTGATAACAATTGAAAATCAATTCATGTATGCTAAAATATACATTTCAGCAAAACCTGTGTTTCAAGTAAACATTTCTCACTCGAACGTTACTTGAAAACGTTACTGCCATTTCCACATGTTCAAGTCTTCAAAGATTTGTTTAATATCACACACAATGTGTTACAAAGGGTAATTAGTAATACATGTAATATATTTCAGTGAACATAAAAAATAAACACGTAATTTGTTACAATTAAGCATGTCACTTCAAATTTACGTTTGTCAGTTGAGAAAAGGGTTGAAAAGGAAAAGCATGTTTTTAATATACACATTGACAGATTCTTACATGGTTGGGTATGCTAAATTGACAAAAAACTTTTATATTGGCATGCATTTGGAATATTTCAATAAATTATAGTTGTAAATTCTCGTTTATAAATTTTACTTTATCAACATTTTTTGCAATTTAAAAAACGTGACAATCAACACCAATAGGTTTGTGCTTAAATAACATAATTGTGTTTGATTGGGGAATGGGTGTATGAGGTTACCTTTTAAATTCTTTTCGTATTAACAATGTCAATTAGACCCTGCCATCACAGTTTATTAAATGATTTCAATATTTAACATTATCACGAAAAACAAGGGACAATTCAATAGTACAAGGAGTATAGTAACAAACGAATAATATTTTGCCACGAAAATTAAATCCATTGATTTTAGAATAAAACTGTTTCAAATTGGTGAAAATACAACTTTTTTGTACACCTATTTTTATTAAGAGTAAACAATAACAAACCAACAAGGCTAAATATTCTGTAAAATTCGATTAAATTCAACCAAATGTAGATCTATAAAAAAGAAACACAGGCTTCGACAAATTAAATATTATAAACAGAAAGGTAAAATGTCAGACCACACAATATGTTGAAAAACATGTTTGTTGACACTCGCGCTCAATGTTTCCAGCCTTAAAAGCAATAGAAATAAACAGTTTATATAAATGAAAGAGAAAATTGATATTTGTGACGTCCTGAACAGAGCCTTAATACGTAAATTTTCAAAAAATCGACATATATAATATATATATATATATATATATTCATTGTAAAGCTATGAATCCTTCCGGTAGTGCTCAAGAATAATGAGATGTACATACATTGTAATAAGAAAAAACAGTTTTTACAATTCAAATTCATTGGTTCCTCTTCAAGTGTACAAATCTTATATCGTATATTTAACAAAGTTCAAAATAAAACCTTCGAACAAATTATAAAGTATTAATTATTATATTGCACATTGGACACGTTTGTTTTATGCATGACCACTTTTTTATACATGATTCGTGGTTATAATGATTACAAGGTGTAATCTTAGCGGATGTCATATTGCAAAGGCAGATGACTGTCACGGATAGACGAGAGCTGACTTAGGAGTTTGTACTTACAGATAATAAATGACTACTACTTTAAACAAAATAACAATTTAATTAGGTACAAATTTACAAATATAAATAGATGAAATCAAATGAAATAATACTGTCAAATGTTTAATGAACTGTTCCTTCTTCTTTATATTAAACTATGAAATCTGGATAAACGATACTACGGAATTTTACGTATTTGGTTTTCGGTAACTACACAAAACTGGCCCAACATAAGCGGTGTACACATTACGGCTGCCCTATTGTCTAGACTCGACTCCAAATATTCTATGTTGCCAAACTATTGATGATAAACACGGAACGCCGCACTGTCAACAGGTTTCACCACCATCTGTACTATATCTCCATACTTTACAATACAAAACTACATACACCTAGCCCGCAAACTGGGACCTATTGAAATACATACTGTACGTTAAGATACAATACTATACTTAAGAAATATACATATGTTTATGTATTACACATGTCGCATAAATAATGACAAATACTTAGTACGACTACTTATGTTCAATCTATAGAAGATTATAGCATATTGAATAATGCATTACTTATACACAAATAATTACGGCATATCGTATAATGCCTTACTTTACACAATACAAACTACGGCATATCGTACAATGCCTTACTTTACAAGTCACATAATTGACTTTATTGTATACTATCATTATACAATTACTACACACAACATACAGCTTTTAACGCTGAATATACATTTATGCTTATACGTTGCATATTACTTTACATACTTATGGAGATACATACATCATTGCATTATCGTACGCAAACGTTCCTCAAATACCAAACAATTTCGATACTCGAATATTTACTACAGCCGGAAACATATAACCGTGTTAAACTGTCATTATAATGAACATTAATTAACTTATTACATTTATAAAATAGCAATGTCAAAAATTACAATTACAATTGAAATATTTATTCTATATTTGCGTTGTTGCAGAAAACTGAACACTTTAGAACGAATAATGATTAAATAAATAAGAATAAATTGAATCCTACCTCAGAAATCCAGTGTGTGTGTCCACGCCACATTGTAAACTAACTTTATACAAACATTTCTGACCACACCTTGACTCGTTAAGGTGTTACCTGAGAGTGAATAGTCAGCTCATCAAATACAGGTATCACTGTTACTCAACCCGTTCGACAAGTTTACAGGTAAATGCCCAAGTAAATAGTGGACACTACTTAATTAATTAGATGTAAAATGTGGACATGTATTATACACCGAAGTCTGCAGAATATAGCATTTATAAGATACTGACGTTCTACAAATCGAAATAGAATTAACAACCAAAATAACAACATATATGTGAGTAAACAAAGTCACCCTGTGACAGTTCCTCCCCACAAAAAGAAGTACGAAGTACTGATAATAAAAAATATATATAAACAGAAATAGATTTACATACAAAACCCCATCAATGCAAATAAACTAGTCCAAATCAAAAGACAAACTAATCATACTAACGACACTACCGGACAGTACTCGACTCTTGACCAGGTCCAAATAAAATACCAACCGACCCTTACAACAAATCGACATATACTCACCTAAAAGATGAATAAGGATCATTATCAGGTCTTGTCGCCTCATAACTTAAACCTATTCAAAGTGTTATGTCACGACATATCCTGCCCACAACATCACGGTTTGTCACCATTTCAAATCTAGTCCTGTGATATTTAGACTGTTCAACAAAATAAAACTAACACTATCAAATCTTCACTACTTACTATTCATTATAAAACAAAACACTGTAATATTTACATCCTAAACTCTACTGAGATAATCTGCACCCACATTATCTATACCTTTAACTGCTACAATTCTAAATCTGTAAGGCTGTAGAGCTAATGCCCACCTCATAAGTCTAGCATTCTCTACTTTCTTCTTATTAAGATAAGTAAGTGGCTGGTGGTCAGTCTCAAGTATAAATTCTCTACCGTATAAATACCTCTGAAATTTCTGCACAGCCCAAACGATGGCTAAACACTCTTTTTCAATAGTGGAATAAGCCACTTCACTCTTCTTAAGTTTCCTACTTGCATATGCAATAGGCATCTTGGAGTTCTCTTGATACTGCATCAGTACTGCCCCAATCCCTCTATCTGATGCATCAGTCATCAGAACAAAAATCTGAGTGAAATCTGGTAATTTCAATATAGGAAACCTAACTAAAGCACACCTTAAAGACTGAAATGCATTCTCCTGTGCATTTTCCCAAACAACAGTACTAGGCTGTCCTTTCTTCGTCAGATCAGTAAGTGGAAGTGCAATACAGGAGAAGTTTGGAATAAACTTCCTGTAAAACCCAACTTATCCAAGAAAAGACCTTACCTGTTTCTTTGTAACTGGTCGTGGAGCTTCTTCTATCGCTTTAACCTTGTCTGGATGAGGTTTAAGTTTGTCATCACCGACAAAATGACCCAAACACTCTAGACTACCATAACCTATGGAACACTTACTAGGTCTAGCTGTAAGATTTGCCCCTTTAAGTCTGACCAAAAGTTCATACAGTACCTCTAAATGTTGCTCAAATGTCAAGGTGAAGATGATTATATCATCTATGAAATTATCTATATTCTCCATACCTTTTAACAATATTCTCATTAATCTGCAAAAAGAAGCTGGCGCAGTAACCAGTCCAAACGGCATTCTACGAAACTGAAACAAACCTTTAGGTGTTTGAAAAGCGGTTTTCGGTTTGGCATCCTCTGATAACGGTAACTGCCAATATCCTTTTGATAAATCGATTCGTGAAAAGTACTTATGTCCTGCTAACTTAGAAAACATCTCTTCTGCATTCCCCATCGGTTCAGCGTCAAACAAAGTCTGGCTATATAACGACCTAAAATCAATACAAAATCGGTTTGTATTGTCCTTCTTCTTAACAATGACGATCGGTGACGCATAAGGACTCGTAGATGCTTCTGTAACTCCAAGGTCTAACATTTTACTAACCTCAGCATTTACTGTGTCTAACATACTATATGGAATAGGATACGGTTTCATCCTTATAGGCGTTTCACTGGACAATTTAATGTCATGCTCCAGAAGATCGGTACATCCTGGAGAATCAGTAAAGACTTCAGGAAATGAAAACAGCAATTCCTTTACCTGTAATACCTGATTTTCATCCAAGTCTGGATTAACATCAATATGACTAGCATTCTCACCTGAATCAGTAAAAGGTATTTCATGAATCTCATCATAAACATCCACTTGGTCACTATCAGTATCTATCACTGCAGAACTTACCACTGTTAAATCATCATCTACGTCACACCTTTCCACATACCTTTTCAATAAGTTTGCATGGAACGTTTTAATCTTCCCATTCATCTGTATTCTGTAGTCTACCTTACCAAATTTCTCAGTAATAGTAAAAGGACCTTTCCACTGCATCAACAGTTTATTCTTATCCGTAGGTAAGAGCACAAGAACCTTTTCACCTACCTTCATATGTCTTTGCTTGGTCGATTTATCATAATATACCTTATTCTTCTTTGATGCAGACGCCAAATTACTTCGAGCAAGCTCACAGGTAGCTTCTAATCTCTCTCTTAAATCTATCACGTACTGATATGTAGACTTTACCTCAGGATCGTCTATCTCTTAAGTCCATAGCTCCTTTAATATTGCCATAGGTCCCCTCACCTGTTTACCATACACGAGCTCAAATGGCGAAAACTTCAGATTCTCCTGTGGAACTTCCCTGTATGCAAACAGTAATGCATTTACATACCTGTCCCAATCTTTAGGTAGTTCATGACACATTCTCTTCAACATCAGTTTTAGACTTCCATTGAACCTCTCTACTAACCCATTACACATAGGATGATAAACAGTTGTAGTTAACTGTCTAAGCGATATGAGTCTACTTACCTCAGCCATAAGCTTAGATGTAAACTGACTTCCCATATCAGTTAACATTTCCTGTGGAACTCCTACTCTAGAAAATATATCTACTAATGCCTCAGCAACACTCTCTGTCTCAATATCCTTCAAAGCTATTGCTTCAGGATAACGTGTAGCATAATCTACCAAAGTCAGTATATATCTACTACCTCTGTCTGTTCTAGGAAAAAGAGGTCCAATGAGATCAACTGCTACGCGTTTAAACGGCTCATCTATCAACGGCATAGACTGTAAAGGTACCTTACCTATTTTTCCTTTAGGAACTGTACGCTGGCATATGTCACAAGACTGACAAAATCGCTTAACATCCGCCGAAACACCTGGCCAATAAAAAGCTGATAATACTCTATCAAGTGTACGCTGTGTACCCATGTGACCTGACATAATCGACTCATGTGCTACTCTCGTCACTGTCTCGCGATGAAACTTCGGAACTACTAACTGAGTACAACTTACCCTATCAGGTTTTGACGACGAAAACTGTCTGTATATCATACCTCTTTTTAAAATCCACTTTACTTTTCCATTCTTCCGTGTAACTGTATCACCCGTTAATACATACCTTCTTATTTTATCCAACGTTGTATCTTCTAGTTGAGCTTTCTTGATTACATTTGGATTTACCTCATCTGTGATGATATCTTTTACCTTCAGTTGCACAAACGGCTTACTTTTGTTTCTTACCTGTTCTCTTGTCTCAACAGCTCCCGTTTGTTGCCACAAAGGATCAGGCTTTCCTGGTTCTCTAGCGTCCTCTACATTACCAATTATCAAGTCATACACAGGATTAGCCATACACCATCCTTCAAATTCTCCCTGTAAATATGGTGTATCTATATCAATTCTAGCTATTGGCACTTCAACTCTGGTTCCATCTGCCAAAATACATACCTGTTTTCCACCCGTTAATGACTCATTGCCAACCATATCACGTTTAACCACAATACCACTGCAACCAGTATCTCGTAAAACCGTGACTGGTTTACCATCAACATAACCTGAACTTACAGGCATACTTACATTTGCGGTTGACTGACAAGACAACGGAAGTGTACTTGTACAACCAGTAGGAATAGCATCTACTATAGAATCTGTAGGTATAGTACAGGTATTACATACTTTACCTTTAAAATTCTTTCTATCGTCTGACGATCCACTGTTGGTCTTTTGTAGATTAACTCTACAATCCGTTGCAATATGTCCATTCTTACCACACCTAAAGCACTTTCTGTCCCTATTAGGTACAAATGAAGTACGTTCTGTTGGTTTTATACTTCTCTGTTCTTTTTTTGTACTATAATCAACTGGTTTTGAACCACTTTGGTTTCTTACTGAAGATGTGTTTGACTGATTACCTTTATCTATAAGATTGGAAGCACTTGTTTGTCTTGCCTCACGATACTGATCAGCTAAAGCTACCATTTTCTCTAAAGAATCTGGTATTCTCTCTTTTAAAAACAAAGACAAGTCCTTCGAACATATATGTAGAAACTGATCCCGTATAATCAAGTCATACAAACTTATATAAGTAGTATCTGTATGTGCCATATCAATCCAACGCTTAAAATAGCTATCTAACCTAACAGAAAACTGTATAAAAGTCTCACCTGGCTCTGGTCTACAACTTCTAAATCTACGTTTAAATCCTTCTTCAGTCATATCATACCTTTTTAGTAGAGCATCTTTCAAAGCTGGATAATCAAGAGCTTTATCAACCGGCATAAGTGCATATACATCAAGAGCCTTGCCCTTCAATAACGCACTAAGATGAGTGGCCCAAATATCAGGTTTCCACTTTTGAGCAGTAGCATAACGCTCAAATCTCCTAAGATAACTATCTATCTCATCCTTACCTTCTTCAAAAGCTGGAATTTTAGGTCCATGAACTGTATCATGTGACCCCCCTGTACTTACTAATTGTGGTAACTCAGCTTGTTTACTTAACTCTTCCATTTTCTGACTATGCGTCAACTTTTGTAGTTCCAATTCATTCTCAACCTTAGCTTTCTCAATCAAAACTTTTTCTATAGCTGCTTTTCTATCTCGTTCGTCTTTCTGTTCTTGCCTTAAAGCAGCCCTTTCATCTCGGACCCTATCCTGCTGATCTTTAACAAACCTTCTCAACTCATCATCTTCATACCCTAATGAAGTACCCAAATCTCTAATCTGTTGAATCTGTTCCATCTTGAACAGTCAACAAACCAAACACCAATTTCAAAAAACAAAACGCCAGCACTCAATGTACCTACTGCAACCCTCAGTGTACTACAATCAATTACTAAATATATGTAAGTACCGATACTCACAGTTTACAATGTAGAGCAGAAACAACACCAAACCTCCAAGGCACGA